GAAACATGGCTTCATTAACTTTTTATTAATGCTGCCTTCAGTGCTGAAAATATAGTGCTTTAATCTGATCAGTTTCGCTCAGTACCAAGCTGGTATTGCAGTTCCTCAAGCGTTTAGTTCTCTCTGTATGTGTTCAGTTCGTACCCTGTGCTTTGGACCTTGACCCAAGTCTGCATGATCTGTAGGTAAAGGAGGTTGGCACTCTTTTAAACAATGTTTAAACAAACTTGATCTTTTTTGCTTTTTTTTGCTTTTTTGCTTTTATTTTGTGTATGTAGTTGGTTGTTGGCTTTTGCCTGATTTCCTTTCTTGGTAAAGTCGTCACGCTCCTTTGCGGCACATAGAGAGGAATGCTGGATTACAGTTGGGAAGATAAGCGTAAAAAGAAACTCAGACTTATTTCCTCTGTTATGGTTTGTTAACAGGAAACAAGCTTTTTGGTTTTACCACGTGCCTTCGCCCGCACTGTATGCTGGTTTAAAGTGAGCCTTTATGTTAGATCAGCATGCCCTTTAGACATGCTTACGTCTGCCCTATTTGGGTCGCGTTTATCACAGTCGTTATTACATTCGAGCTGATATCAAGCAGTGGTTCGAGTCTGATGACTTGCCTTGACTGTTCACTGACAAGACCTCTCATTTACTGCATGTCGTCACTGATTGAAGTTATAACTTTACAAGAGCTGGAAAAGTCTTGTTAGTTTCTAATGTTGGAGGTTTTTTGGTCTATTCATCATTAAATATTTGCATAGCTGGCATTCAGATTAATGCATCCATTATTTTTTTTAAATAATCAGACAATGTGAAGGGCATCTGACATTTTCAAATACCGTTAATGTGGGGAAAATAACAGTTAAAGTGGAGATACATGGGTTTGTTTTCACAGTAAAAGTATGCTAAGCTAAATGCTAACACCCCTGGTAAATCCAGTGGCCTCCTATATACAAATCTCAGAAAAAGTGCTGTTCCTTTCTGAAGCAGTCTAGTTTCAGTTCCCAACCCCCAAACTGATACTTAGCTGCTGTATTTGACTTCATTAACTTTCATAGTGACTATGCCACCTGTGCTGCTCATACAAAACTGAGGCATTTTAGATTTGGTTGTTAAATATTAAACATTACTGGTTGGTCCTCAGAAGTGAAAAGTTTCACCTTGAGAGCTTCAAACATGTCTTTACACTCTTAAGGATGGTGCTTCGAGGGTTCTTTAGTTAAAAAAAATGGTTCTATAAAGAACCGTGAACAATCAAAACCTTTGCATCATAAAAGCGTTCTTCAGAATGATGGAGAATGTGCTGTAGATGGTTTTCTAAAGCACCAAAAAGGTGCTAAGCTTGGCATCGTAACAATAGAAGAACCTTTTTTTGGTGCTGTAAAGCACCAATCTGAAGAACGCTTTCGCAATGCAAAGAACTCTTTAATCATGCACTGGGTTTTTTAGTGCTCATGGTTCTGTATAGAACCATTTTCTTTGCAGTGGACCCCTTGAAGAACCATCTTTTAAGAGTGTAAGGTAACAAAACAGAGGCAAAAGATGATTCTGTAGATGGTTCTATATAGAACATTTTTGAAAAGTGGTTCTATATAGCACCCAAAAGGGTTCTTCTATTGTTACGCTATCAAGCTTGTAATAATAGAAGAACCCTTTTTGGTGCCATATAGAAACCTTTTCAGAAAGGTTCTACATGTTGCTGTCTGTAAGGAGATTCATGCACGTTTTACATCAATCTGAAAAACACTTTCATGATGCAAAGAACCGTTTAATCGTGTAAAGGGTTCTTCGAGTATTCATAGTTCTGTAAAGAACCGTTTTCTTTACTAAAGAACCCTTGAAGCACCATCGTTTTTAAGAGTGCACTTTCTGGTTATTTGAATACTGTCAAGTGGTTGTCACTGGTGTGTACAATTACCAGTGAGTACATTATCCAGTGTTATCCATACTGAGCCGATGTTCCATACTGATCTAATATTTACTGTTTACACAGCGAGCTGTGTCTGATCCTTGAGTTGGACCTTGGACAAATTTACTTATTCCTTGCTGGTGGCTCTCCACAGCGTGCCTTTTTGCCACCACTGAAAGTTGAAATAGTTTGCACAGGAAACGTTTTTCCACGTAAAATCTGATGAACCTGTTTAACTTGATGTGTGTGCTTCCTATGTAATGTGTAAATGTAACGTCATGGGGTGTCATCGTCGTCCCCTACAGGCATAGTTTCATATCTTTGCATCATTAACAAAGTAGGTTTTCCTGTTTGTTTCCGGTTACCTGGCTACCTGTCCTATAACCGAACTGGTAACCGAAACATAAAAGGTGTGCCGGTTCTGAAGTTTCAGCCAGATCTAATATCTTTCTAGCCAGATGTTCAGATACTGTATTGATGCACCAAGAAAAAGTTCTTGGCCAAAAACCAAAACCAGAAAAACTGACAATACAGTTTACGTAAAATAAACCTACTAACATTATTGCAGTTTGCTGGTTACAGAACGTGCCATGAAATCCAGCATCCAACATGTCGGCCGGCATCTGTTCACAGTTCCCTTATTGGAGCATCCTCGGTATTTGGCCTGTATAGATATCAGGACATATGAAATATGTACATCTTCTGATGTTTAAATGATCCTATCATCAGTAATTCATATCAAGTCTATACTTCCATTTATTTGTTTTCATTGGCCACAGACAACAAAGTAAATGCAGCAGATCTGTGTTTAGCTCATGTTATTTGTTCTAAAATTGTCAAATTTTAATGAATTTATCAGCAGTTGAAGTACCAGGTGCAACAATCTGCTCCTGACTGATTTTGATCATGCACACCCAGGAAGCAGTGCAAAAGCATTGTCACGTGAAGATGAGCTAAAGTGCTACATCTCTCTCTGGGTGTTTTCACACATAACTGTTAAAGTGAACCTGAAAGGGAACCGACTGCAAACGGCCTCAGTTCTCTGTGTTCACAATATAGGGAGATGAGATCTCGGACCACAACTCCATTAGAACTCAGACCCCTTTCACAGCCCATCTCTGATAAATCTGACCTTTCAGGTGGTGAGAGGAGCTACCAGACGCGGCTGCTGCTCTCCTATTGGCTGCGCCGAAACAATTGGCCGAAGTGCATCACGCAGAACTGGAAAAATGACCCTGCGCTTCTGCCGCGGTGGGCTCCGTTTACGGCCGCGCTCCTCACTGAGGCTCCACCCAGCGAAACTCTGTGTCTGCATTGAAATAATGTGTTAGAAAGAGCAGCAGTGTATATTCATTCGTTCAGCTTTCAGTTTAAAAGCAGCTTAAAGCTCAGCATTGCATGCGCCCACAGCATGAGACTTCAACTCGTCAAAATCATGCAGGCTCTCGCATCTTATCGCTGTAATATGTCAGCGCTGCTGTCTTGTCGCAGACCACGGACAGGCTTTATCTTGAGTAGGTCCTTATAAATGATATTTGGTCTGTTTTTACCTGCTGAAGTGCTGGAAGATTGGACTGACAAAAAGCAGACTGGGGCTGTTTTTCACAATGCGCAAATCAATCAAACCACAAAACAAGCTACGTTTTTGGGGCCGTTTAGAGGGGTCTGAGTTTGTTTGGTGTGTTCACATGACTCAGCGGTCTGACACTGAAGTGCCCAAGTGTGAAAACGGCCTCTGTTTCTCTAAGCTGCTTATGCGTTCACACTTCGGTACATGTCTACCCATCACTTCCTTTTTAGCCCATTGGTGTTTGGTTTTTTTGTACATCAGCAACACCGTCTAAATAATAGAGCAAGCTCAACTCCTCATTGGCGCAGGCAGCCATGCTCATATGTTTGTGTATTCTGGTCCATGAGTACAAGTGCAAACAGTCAGTGGATGTAATCTGAAGCTGGTCAGCTTGTCCTCCTTATTATGCCAGCCTTGATGTCCTTGGTCAGGGCAGAGAGCAGCAGGGATCTTATTAATAGAGAAGGAGATGGTGGTCTAGTTCACATTGCAGTGAATGATGCCTTGTTGGACCAGACCCAGCAAGTCAGAGAGAGGCCAGTATGTTGATGTGCAGAAGGGGACTGGGGCTCAGGGGGAGGGGGTGACTGGGATTCTGTTTGAGAGGTTATTAGGGATATAATTCAGGTTTGATTTGTTTTTCATTTATGAGGTCAAGGATTAACTTGAGTCGAGTTTTTTAAGTTATGTCTTTCTAAACTTCTAAACCAAACCAAAAATTGAAGATTATTTCAAGTGGTGATCTTATTAGACGGTGCAGCTGAACTAACGAAAAAACAGAACTGCCTCGTAAAACGACAGGGTCACAATATATGGGTAATATGTGTGTTATGTAAATTGTGTATCGCTGCTGCTGGAAGCAGCGCACACACACACCTTTTTGAACCTTATTTTATTTTAGTCCTGAAATCTTTAGAGACTGAAAAATCCAAACTTCTACATGCCTGTGAGACTGTAGTCTTTTTAAATGGCTTTTTTTTGTGTGTGATTTGTGGGTTACTTAAATGGTATGGACCATGTTTTATGGAGCAAAACAGATTTTATTTTAATAAATTGGTAACATATTTTACAGCTATAAGTAGTCTTGGGATTGCAGAGTTGTTTGTTCAGAGAGTCTAAAAACTCCTTGCTATTTCAAAAACACCTTGCTATTTTCATCCCCCCTCAAAATCCTATGGCCAGTATGTCAGTTAAGCATACTACAACGTCTGTGCCTCATTTTTCTGTAGCACTGCAGTCCTGTGTCTGTAACCGAAGTATCCTAACCAAAACAAGCAGCTATTTTTGCAACATTTTTGGCAAGCAGTTATTCTAAGCAGAATAATAGTCTGTATTATACTGAAAACTTTCCAAGAAGGCACAGTGCGAAGTGCTGAGCTTTGTGTGTGATACCAGCTTGCCTTGAAATATTTGAATTACAAATGCAAGCAAAACGTAAGGGCTCTGATGAAATGCTTCCTTTCATTGTTTTTACTAACATATCTGTTTCTGTATCTGTGTTGTGTGCTGGGTGTGTGTGTCATCGTGGTAGGTGTCAGCAGGGTGGAGGACGTGTCTCGTAAAATGAGTGGCGACGAGGTGGTTGACGAGCTCTTGCTGGAGGAGGAGGAGGCGGCAGCGGGCCCTGTGCAGATCGTGGTGGCGGACGAGGACGAGCATGCGTTCTCGTTAGATGAGGAAGCCCTGGAGCGCATCCTCCTGCAGGAACACGTCCGGGACCTCAATGTGGTGGTGGTCTCTGTCGCTGGAGCTTTCCGCAAGGGCAAGTCCTTTCTGCTGGACTTCATGCTCCGATACATGTACAACCAGGTGAGAGGCAGCACAGGAGGCTGGTGGCTTAAACAGAACAGTTCTGTACTCAGGTACAGGTGGCAGTATCTAAAGGATCTGTCAGTTCTGATCCCTAGCATAAAGGCAGTTTTAGTGGAACATGGTTAAGTATTATGGGCTGTTTATGGGCGTTCAGTACTGAATATTCCGTAATGGTACTGACTGAATTATTTCAGTACTACAGAGTATCGAGAAATTGTCATTCAGTACCAAATTTCAAGTCATCCTTGGCTTCCATGATCCAAAATACATGCTTGTTCCAGAATCCATACTGCTTATTGGCTGTCAGTGTCGCATTGTGTAACCGTGTTGTTATTGTCTGTGCATCTTGATTAGCCTGCAGTCCATTAAGGTCAGTAAATACACACAATTGAAGCACCTCACGTGTAATTTTTGGTTTAAGGCTTGCCCACTCACGGGCTGTAGTTTTAAAGAAGATATATAAAAAGTATAAGGAAAAAGTAAAAGGAATCTGTCAAAATTAAGCTATCAGTGATGGTATTTATATCAATGCCCAGCCCTAAGAACGAGAGTCTTAACGTGGGTGCGTTGAGGACGTAATTGTAAAGGCAGAGATGCTGCGGTAATTAAGCTGACTAATCTAGCTGGCATTTACTACAACCAAAACTGTGAAGATATCTCTCTTCTGTTGTTACGTTGACAATCTAACATGTTGGCACATCATCAGCTGAAGAGAAATCATCACGTAGAGACCCCTGAGTCATCTCTTGCTGAGCTGGTTAGTTCTAGTTTTGGCGTTAGCTCATTAGCCAGTTTGAGGGGGCAAACTTTATATCAGGGGTGTCAAACTCAGCCACGAAAAGGGCCATATTAATAAATCTCAACAAATCCATGGGCCAGAGAACACCTGTTTTTATTTTATTTTTAATTAACGTTTTGCTAAACCGAACTGACCATTGTTTATTAAAAAAAATATGCAAAAACTTCAACAGTAAAATATAAGCACTTTGTGGTAGACCTTGAAACATTACAGGATCTAGGTCTTTTAAACCATCCTATTTGCCTGAACTAGACCCCTGGCATAATTTCTTTGCTGCAAGTTCATTAATACTTGGGCTTAATTTCTGAGCTGCTGAGCTGATGTTAAGTGATTATATTGGCTGAAATGCAGTTAGTGTGTTTGGTGATGTGACTGGTATGAGAGTCGGAGCACATGTCATGTTGCAGTGCATGCTGGGGACTGTAGTGCAGTGCATTGAGAAACAAGCTAATATTAATAGAAAATTACAAAACTTTAGCAGGCCAAATAGGAATTTGTCACAGGCCTGATTCGGCTCACAGGCCTTGTGTTTGACACATGGGCTTTATATGATGCAAAAACCTGGCAGTTTTACTTACAGGCGCCAAAATATTTCTCTTGGCCTGTGAAATATAAATCCTGATTTTAAAAATGTGCCTCTACTTGCTGCAAAATTGTTCATGATGCTTCTTTGTTTTAAGCACCATTTTACTCATTTTGAGTCAGAACTACAGTATGTTAATATCAGCTGCTCTTGACGAAACATCAGTCTTGAAGATTGTCGAATATAAAAATGAGTCTGAATGCACGTTTCTAATTAAAACATACAGAGGCTAAAGATGTTGCGTTTGTCTTGAGCCGTTTGAAAGGCTGCTTCAATAGCAGCGTCATCAGTATTAACATGGAAATCAGTGCTTGCTTCCCCCAACAGCCCCCCTCCCACCCCCTTCATGACCAGTTGCATGTTTTGCCCCTGTCCTCCCCACAGCGCTTCCCATTTAGGTCAGGTGTCTTGGGAGAGGTTATTTTCTGCATGTGTGCTAATGGTGTGAAATGAACCAGTATCTCCTCATTAGGCCATTGCCAATCCTGCCCCTCCACTCTGAGCCTTCCTTGTGATCAGGGGTCCGACAATTGGGGCATCTGTTTGGGGTTTTGGCTCCAGTGGTTGTTGGGAGTACAGAGAGACGCTGTGGCTCTGTGTCTGATTTGATAGACTGATTAGGGTGCTGTGGTGCGCCCCTCTCATGTTGCAGTATATCCAAGTAAACATCAGACATCCAAATCAATGTTCTGTTTTCTAAATTCACAAGTGGCCACTTGCTGTAAATTATCAAGCGTCCCTAAAAGTAAATCACACAGATTTTAAACCATCATCCTCATCATCACTTATTTATATAGCACCTTTCCCATGCTCAAGGATGCTTTACAATCAATACATAATCAAAATTACATAACACAGAACACACACACACACACACAAGCCCCACGGTTCCCACAGCTAGCGAAGGGGAATTTCACTGACTTCAGTATAAAGTCACTTAACTAGCCTGGAAAGAGTACTTAGTGGTGGGGAAAGTCTCACACCGCAACTACGGTGCATCACCAGTGAGGCCGTCCCGGGGAGCCTCGAAGGTTTCAGACCAGTGTTTCTTCTAGCATCTTATTTACCTGCCTTATTGCCCCACTTGTCTGACTGTTTTCTTTCTTTGCCACTATACACCCTTTAATTGCTGCTGCACTCAGCACTTTAACTTAAGACACATACTTTGCACAATGTAAGGTTCACGTGTGTGTGTATATGTATATGAGTGTGTGATGGTAGGAATGTATGTTTTATCTTATTTTATTGTATTCACTACATGTACATGTTTGTCTGAAACTGAAATACAACAAAACTGAGGTAGAAAGCCCTTGTGAGCATGCTGACATGCAAAGAATAACTATGGTGTTCACTGCCTTGAATGACGAAATGTTCTGTTGTTGAAGATGATGTTTCATAGGGACCCACTATAGCCACTGTAATCATTTTAGAGACTTTATTTTAAACAAAGCGCTTTTTATTGTCAGGTCAGATTTTTCCTATTGAAACATTAACAGTGTAAAATGTATTTTCTATATTACCTTGTAGTTTTTTTTTTTTCTTTTGTTTCTTTTTGGTAGTTAGCTTACTAAGAAGCATCTGTGTTTGAAGTGTAAGCATATAGTCATATTCACCTTTTTAAGTAGACATATCAATTCGTTCAGAATGACTCAGCTGCTTAAAAGCTGGCATATGGTTGCAGACATTCCCATATAGTTCTAATTAAGGACAAAAATTGTTTTTGTTGTTTATGGTCAGCACTTCCCAGTGCTTCCCACCGTTTGGTGTGTGGTAGTCGTCATTTCTCATAATGTTACTGATTGGCCTGGAACACTAGGAGCTGCTGTAGAGGTTGCTTTAAGCATTTGATTTTTATGCAGTCTAATATGCAATTTTTTTTTCCATAGGATTCAACCAGTATCTTCATATACATCAGATTTTATTTTAATAGCCCTATCTTGAACTACATCATATTTGGCTGGAGTGCCTAGCAGGACGGAATGCTTACTTTGTGGTGCACATTTACTAGTAAGGTTAGTTTTATGCTAGGCTATCAGTAAGTGTCCTGTGCCTTGGTGTTATGTAGCCTTTCTGAGCCCCCTTAAGCGTTGTCAATGCCTGTTAATTAGGGCTAGTATAGAAAAAGGGAAGTTAAGGGAAAGCTAGGGTGGCACAACATGTAGGTTTACACTTGTGCCTGTCACATTTTTGCTCTGTCTTACGCTGCAGAGGTTTAGCTACGTCTTCCATTTTTCTCTCCAAAACCATTCAAAGCATCCAAATGCTAATTGCCTTCCTTAACTCTTTTTAATCCGTTTTAGCTGATTCGGCTATTACAGTGCCTGGCCTGTGGCCTGTGGCCTGCTTTTGTTGCAACACTGCCTTTCATTTGCCACAGAGACTGCTTTTGTTTCTTCCTGAAAGCTCTGAACAGTGTTATCTTGGGATAGACTTCCAAAATAACACTCAAGTATGTTAACAAACAAGAGGCACTCATCCCTGTCATGGCATATATGTCCAGATCGTCTGTGAACTGACTAGTGGTCTTCCTAAGTTGTTCTTAATTGTATTAGTATGCACATATGATGACTGCGCACCGTGACTGTCTGGGGACAGGTCTTCATTAAGTGAGGACTGGATTTTAGTTTCAAATTAAGTAATTGCATTTCTTAATTAATTTTTTTGAGTTTTGAGATGTGTAAAGTTCTATGAGAACCCATTTTGGTTTAGAAAGAGACATTATTTGACAATGGATGCGATAAGTCAGTCATCAGTTCCTCAGTGTGGAGCCAACATCAGGGAGTCGATGTCTCGCGCCTCTGTGGTTGTTTGGTTTTTGCTCTGCGAGAAGGGCTCACTTGTGCTTAAAACATGCTCTTTCTGCAGAAATGGGAGGGGTTGTTCCAGTGTGGTTGCCACGTATAACCAAGCAAAACATTTTTGCATTTGTCTGGAAATGATGCTAGCTTCACATGCCGTCACAGAAAATCAGTTACACTCTTGCATTTGTGTGGTTTGGTTGCATTTTTAATAACTTGTATGGAGTTCCACAGATGCATAACTATTAAGATTGCATTACCTACTTTTTTTTTTTAATGTTGATAATGGAAAATAGTAAATTTCAATAATCCGATAACTGCAGAAATCAGATTTTGTCAGTAATCCAATCGACACATTTGCATGCACTTGAGTAATCAGATAATGGGGAAACTCTGGATCTACATGAGTCAGGCGATAATTGGATTTCTGCTTTGCATCCAGCCAATAAACTCACAGAAGACGACGTGACGTAAACATAAAAAACTCATACGCAGCGTTTTAATTAACATCGTGCCAGTTTATCAGAAAATATGAACGTACATCATCTAGAAGATGAAGAATATTCTAATCCTTTATTTCATGTTTGGTTTCAGCGCCGCTCCTACAGTGTTTTGCTGCGTCTCGCGACATCCACTGTCTATTCTCTCGCATGCGCAGACTGAGAAATCCAAAAGAAATCAGAGTAAGAGTTCACATGCACTGAGAAATCTGATTACTGAGTTAAAATCCAGCTCTCTTCGTCGGATTTCTAGATCGGAGTATAGTGTTTATATGACCATTTGAATAATCTGATAACTGCAGAAATCCGTTTATGATGGGATTATTGAGTGCATGTATACGCACTTAATGTCTCAAATATCAGGCAGTGTATTCTTAAATGACTAAGTTTATCTAAAGGGACGGATCTCGCATCAGCCCACTTTGAATGACTAAGTTTGCAATGTAATGACTGACTTAATCCTGAATTCAGAAAAACAAAGACTGAAAGCTGCACTGTCGCTCTAACACCTGTGTTATACTACTGCAGAAATCTGATGCGTGGCTGGGTGGAAATGAGGAACCTTTGACCGGCTTCACCTGGAGGGGAGGCTGTGAGAGGGAGACCACGGGCATCCTGGCATGGAGCGAAGTGTTTGTGGTCAAGAAGCCGGACGGGAGCAAGGTAGTACTTAATGCAGGTTTATCTCGGCCTCTTTATGTTCAGCTGCAAAACGTTGCCATCATTGCTTCATCTTCTAACAGGCTTTTGCCCTTGAGCCTCTCTGTATCATGCTTCTCAAGGCTACCTCTTTATTCTACCACACAGTCAAAAGTCTTTAGCCAGATTTTAGAATAAAGTAATTTGTGTTTAAAAACTCCTGCAGCACTGCTGTGTCTGATCCACTCGTACCAGCACAACACACACTAACACACCACCACGTCAATGTTACTGCAGTGCTGAGAATGATCCACCACCCAAATAGTACCTGCTCTGTGAGGGTCCATGGGGTCCTGAGCACTGAAGAACAGGGTAAAAGGGGGCTAACAAAGTATGCAGAGAAACAGATGGACTACAGTCTGTAACTGTAGAACTACAAAGTGCACCTGTATAGTAAGTGGAGCTGATAAAATGGACAATGAGTGTAGAAACAAGGAGGTGGTTATAATGTTATGCCTGATCGGTGTGTTACCTGCTAATCTGCCTACCAGAGTGAGTAAAATTGACCTGGGACTATTGGTGGTAAATGGATACAGGATTTAGTTACCTTACTATTTTGATGAGCATAACCGTTTCAGTAAAAAGTAAAATCTTTTACATATTTACATAATTTACTGAATTTCTTAGTGTTTGTTATGCCCTCAGACTGGCACAGACTCCACTAGTTGTGCAAAAGCCTCTGATCCACTTGAGTCTCACCTGAACACCAGCTTCAGTGAAAGACATTCCACTGTTTTAGAAATAAAATCTGACCTTTTTATACAAACACTTCAACGTGGTCAATGTCACGAATGTGCTTACGTTTGAATAATGAGAAGTAAGGCGGGATCTTGAATAATTTTACTTGTTGTGACTTATTTTTTTGAAACTCTAGAACTTTTCTGGTTTAAATGAAATAAATCCTAGATTTTGAATGTGATCTTGGCCTTTTGGACCCCACTGTATAATGCAGCTCAGTGTGCTGTACAGGGTGTTATTGCTGTTTTTACCACTATTAACAATAGGCTACCTTTTAAATAATGAACACAAGGGAGTGGCCGACAAATTGTGTGGTGTGGGTTACCAGTCAGCACAAGGAAACCTCACAGGAGATCAAATGTTTAGTTGGCCTTACTTAGTCGTCATGTCAACCACATGTAGGCAGTGAAACTAAAATGCTGTGTCATTTAGGGCATAACATAGTAGCATAGCATAACACAGTACACAAGAATAAGTATACATTGTTAAGCTGTATAATGATTGTCAGGCTTCTGGATCAAGTTACGAAGTCCACTCTCAAGACACATCAACAGAGTTCAGAGTTACAGTGGCTCAGATTTTTCTTTCATTTTTTTAAATGAAAACACCCCAAAATGAATGTAAGTAAAGGGTGAGCTTTACTCAGATGGTCCTTTCTTGCCTGAGAAGCTCACTTCTGGTTGCATGTGTTAGAAAGCAAAATCCTGAGGACCTGGAAGCGCCCAGTGACCACAGTGCAATAGGGGTGCGGGAAAAACTCGATTCTTAGATGCATCGCGATGCGGACGTGAACGATTCTGAATCGATTCGCAAGTGTCAAAAATAGATTTTCTAAATATTTAATTGCAGCGTCTCTGAATGAGAGCCTTCTAGTTCACTTGCCACATCACTTCCATTTGATTTATTAATAAAATATATTTTAGATATTTAAAGCAAAGTATTTGTAATGATGCATTTACATTATGGATCATTACAAATACTTTGCCTTAAAACTACCAAGTCCTCAGACAGTAGGAAGATAGAAATCATGTATAGAGAAAAAAGATGCATCGAGATGCATCGATAATTGTTTTATAATCGCATCGCAGCCCTCTGAATCGGAATCGAATCGTGAGGTGCCTAAAGATTCCCACCCCTACAGTGCAACATTTACGAATTTGTTGCATGGAACTAAATGACTTGACAAATTATAAGTCAGGGTTTTAGAATATGTATTGCACACAGCTGAGTTTGCTAGGTTGCTTGTGTTTTGAATGAGATTTAACCTCTTTTCCTTTCTCCTTCAGCCCAGTCAGTCATGACCATCTGTGTCTCCACAGGTGGCTGTGCTTCTCATAGACACCCAGGGAGCCTTCGACAGTCAGTCCACCATCAAAGACTGCGCCACGCTCTTCGCCCTCAGCACCATGACCAGCTCAGTGCAGGTCTGCCTTTTAAACTGCTTTTAAACAGGGAATATTCTGCATTTCTCTGACTGACAGAAGGTTAAAGCTGCCATTCTTCCTTTTCCTGCTTATGTGTTGTATGTATAGGTATACAATTTGTCTCAGAATGTGCAAGAGGATGATCTTCAGCATCTTCAGGTATGACTTCACTGTGTAACTTGTTCAGGTAGTCACCTTAGTTAACGTGTAATCAAAATTGACCTTTATCTCTAAACGTCTTCTGATTTCTGATTGTCACAATGCATCAGCATGTGGAGGGGAAAAATACATCAATTAATATAATACTTCACCTCAGAGCCACTTTCTAATAGTGTTTCGCTCGATGCAAAAGGAAAATTTTATGACTTTTCATTCTCTTAAGACTTTTTAGTAATGATTATACATTATGTGGTTCAAAGTTCTGTAGTTATGAGAGAGGAACTGACATTTACCTGTTTTACCACTACAGTTTAGAGCCTATATCATGTAAAAGCAAAATGAGTTTGATGATGTATGTAAACATTATTAAAGTTTCAAAACTTAGCATTTATTTTCCAGTCTGTATATCGCTGTTGTTAGAAGAAAACCTCTCATCTCCAAAATGAGAACTTTACAGGAGAAGGAAAAAACCTACTTTACTTTTAATGTAAGTCAATGGAACCAGACATCTTTCCAGGTCTTTTTGGGTCATTTCATTTGGTCCATTCTTTATGAAAGTTACGTACAATGTTAGGAGCAACAGGCATTTTCAAATGATGCCAAAAACTGAAAAACGACAATCAAGATACGAGGTTTTCTTCCGACAGCAGCGATATGAAAACCAAGCCTCAAATGTTTTGAATTAACTGTTTATACTAACGCATTTATAAACATCCACCTATTTGGCATGCAGCAGTTTAGCCCCGCCCATTAATCCTGACGTTATAAGGAGTGTTTCAGCTTAGAGTGCTATTTGAATAGACACAATACAGGGCAGCCAGTCAGAATCAAGATCATTTGCATGTATCAAAGGCACAAATCAAACAGCCTGTTTAATTTAAAAAGAAATTTGAAAATGGTCATATAAAAATGTATTATGTCTTTTTAGTTCGTAAAACCACACACACGTTATAAGTGGACCTCAGGGGGAAAATATAAAACGCAAGAAAAATGTTTTAAGGGTTTTGTACAGGTTTTGATCATCTAAAAATAATCTGTCTGTTTAAAATCTATTGAATGTTTCATATTTGTACTTTTAAATAATCAAGGCCTTATTAACGTTTAGGATTTGCATGTTTTTCAGGAGCATAACTGTCCATCCAGACAAGCAAAATGCTGCATCAGAAACACTTAATCCTAACTTTAATCAAAAGAGAGTAGTTAGAGTTGATTAAAGTTGATGGACTTCAGCATGTCTTTCTTGCAAGTGTGTTGGCAGCACTTCTTGATTTGGCATCAACTTGCATTTGATTGCCATCTGATCAATAGTGAATAGCCCCAGCCTCCATGTCTAGGCACTTAAGTGTCAAACATGCAGTACAAGCATGTTTCATGAGGTTCTTCATATCTTGTTTTGCATGGTGTTTGCCAACATGTTTTGTGTCTTGTAGCTCTTCACAGAGTATGGAAGACTCGCCATGGAGGAAATCTACCGGAAGCCATTCCAGGTATGTTGTACTGTACAAAGTCTTAGCTTTCATTTGCATTTATGTTTTCTTGTCAGTGTGAATCTGTTGGCGTCTATACAAACCTTGTAGTACTTTGTGTATAATAAAGTGTTTCTATTTATTTTAAATCTGGCATTTTTCTGCTCTTTCTAGTCACTAATGTTTCTCATAAGAGACTGGAGTTACCCGTATGAGCATGCATATGGCCTGGAAGGAGGAAATAAGTTCCTTGAGAAAAGATTGCAGGTGAGTCTTTTGTTCTAGTAGCAACAACAAAGTGCTAAATGTGGTTAAGAGGCCACTTCTCAGTTTGTCTGAATGGAGCAATTGTTCAACATGGTTGCTGCTACATATGTGTTTCACTATGTGTGGGTTGTGTCTTTTTTTTTCCAAAATTTCTCTGCAATTTAGTGATAAGAACAATTATAACCTTTTTTCTTTACACTCCAAAATGACTAGTGAACCTAAATACATCATCTGTGTTTTTCAATGGTAATGATGAATGGTGAAATATAAAGTGTTTTTCTTTGGATACTTATTTCCCTTACAACGCCCTGCATGACCCTGTTTGCTATGTAATAAATACATTTTAGGCCAAAATCTAATCTCAATGGATCATGAAACAATGTCTCGGGCATCAGACAGCATATTTGTAACCATTTCATGTAATAAACTCCTGTGCTGTAGCCTTTAGGCAGACGTCTGGTTACTATCATCACTATTGTGATTCTGACTATTAATTTTCTCTAGAAAGGGCTCACTTCCCATTAAACCTCTAAATTACTTTATTTACATCTTAATGCATGACTTGTGCGAACATTTAGAAAATTTGGTTGGATTCCCCTTTAACCCAGTTAATGTCGTCTTAGGTGAAACAAAACCAGCATGAGGAGTTGCAGAATGTCCGGAAACACATCCACTCCTGCTTCTCCAACATCAGCTGCTTCCTGCTTCCTCACCCAGGCCTGAAAGTGGCCACCAACCCCCACTTCGATGGCAGATTGAAAGGTAAGCTTTGCCTGCCCCCTAGAGGCTGAGAGATGGTGATGCCTGTCGATAACTGGAGTTAGAGACAAATGTGAAACAAGCCTTGTCAGCATGTGTTTCGAGAGAACTTGCCACTGTCACTGACCAACCACTGTAACTATGGTGCTGTATTTATTAACGTTTTCTAGAATAAATGTGAGCTTCCTGTGACTGTATAGCATTTAAAACACAAGCAGCTTAAACTGTTAAACTTTGTTTCTGGGATAGCAATTTGAGTAGTGATTTACCTTGAATACATTGTCACTCCTACTCCACCACTTACTACAGACATTGATGGTGACTTCAAGAAGGAGCTTGTGAGTCTCATCCCATTGCTGCTGGCACCGGAGAACTTGGTGGAGAAAGAAATTGGAGGTTCCAAAGTGACATGTAGAGATCTTGTACAGTATTTCAAAGTACGTATTTAAATCTCATGGTTTATCTGTTGATTTGCCCTGAGAGATTTTAGATCTGCATGTCCTTACTCTCCTCTCTGACCACAGGCCTACATGAAAATCTATCAAGGTGAAGAGCTGCCACACCCAAAGTCCATGTTACAGGTATTTATCATGACATGGCCTACAAACCATGTGGCCTGTTTTACAACCATATTACTATGTTTGTTTATTTTTGATTGGGCTTTTTTTAATGCTTAGGCAACAGCTGAGGCCAACAACCTTGCAGCAGTTGCTGGATCGAAAGACATTTACAACAAAAGCATGGAAGAGGTAAGTGAAAAGCCTCAAGTTATCAAATTAAGGTCGTCTCCAACCACATTGGAAGCTGTTTTAATGGGTTTTTGGTACACTATCACTCAAAAGGTTGGATATACATGATCTGGGGCATTTTGATCAACAGGCTTTTCATCAAATGCTTGAAAAGTTATTACTTGAAGGTGAATTAATGTCCAAAATAAACGTTTTTAAATTATTTTCTTTTTGAAATCCCCACCAAAAAGTGGCCAACATAGGGTCAACATATAAGTCTAAAATGACAAAACATTCATCTCCAAAATGACAACTTTATAGAAGAAGGCAAAAACGATTTTTTACTTTTAGTGTAATTTAATGTAAGAAGATTTTGTCTGTTTGGAGCACTTTATTGGTCAGTTAACCATGGAGTGTGTAGACAATATAAAGCTGCACTCAAGTGATTTACAGCAGTAAAAATAGAAAAAATGGAGATGCATAGTGTTCACAGTGACAGTATAGGTAGCTTCTTATGAAGCTACATGAGAGACCGCCAAGAGTGCATAAAGATGATGGACTTCTTTTGAATCACTGTTTAGTTCTGTATGTTATTTCATAATTTGTCTTCTCTTTTATTCTAAAATGAGGAAAAATTGTATGGTATAAATATGAGAAGCCCTTCTATGAATAGATGTGTCTAATCCTTTGATGGGTAGTGTACCTCCCTCAAGTCTCTCCTCAGATGAAATTAAATTTGCAGAAAAATGCTAATGTTGTGAACAATAATTGAGCGATGCGAACTCTTCATTGTGCTACCTGAGCTTTCATTTGTTCATCGTGTTTAAATCTCTAAAACTTCGCTCTCTGGTGTCGCATGAACATTTTAAACTTTGTCTCTAACCACCTCCACACAGCCTGACGCTGCTTTATTTGATTTTACTTAACTTTTAACTTAACCTTTTATGTTTTAGCTATGTCTTAGCTATTGTTTTACTTTTTACTTTTTTACTTTTATTTCTTTTTATCATTCTTTTTATTTTTTGTTTCTTTTATTAGTATTCTTTTTTTTATTTTATTATTGCCAATTTATTGTCTTACATATTCTATTTTTTATTTCATTAGTTTGTTTTTATTTATTTTATCCTTATCTGATCTGTTACTTGATAAGTTACTATATTGTAATTTTAATTGTTTATTGATGTAACGGTTTATTGGTACCTTCTTATTATTAAATTTTACTATTATGATTATTATTTTTGATTTATTTTTTACTGTACAACTTCTCAATCCCTGATTCCTGTATCACTCGGCTGCATTGTAAATGAGAGTCTCCCTCAATGTATTCAGAGTTTAAATAAAGGTTGATTTGATTGATTTAATGTTGGCAAGTTACTAACAGTGACTGCTCGTTTGCTGTGTAGGGTTTCACATTTCAAATTACAAGCCTATGTTATGTTTTTGAGCTGTTTCACTGAAGACACCTGCTCTGTGCTGCAGGCATGTGGAGGAGACAAGCCGTACATCGCCCCTGCTGACCTGGAGCGCATCCACAAGGACCTGAAGCAAAAGTCCATACAACAGTTTCGGGCAGTTAAGAAGATGGGTGGCGAGGAGTTCTGCCGCCGCTACCAGGAGCAGCTGGAGGCGGAGCTAGACGAGGCTTACGCAAACTTCGTCAAGCACAACGACGGAAAGAACATTTTCTATGCGGCGCGGACGCCCGCCACGCTTTTCGCCGTAATGTTCGCCATGTACATAATCTCACTGGTGACGGGCTTCGTCGGCATAAACTCTGTGGCGACGCTGTGTAATCTGATAATGGGCGTAGCCTTGGTGTCACTGTGCACCTGGGCGTATGTAAAATACTCAGGGGAGTTCCGCGAGGTGGGGAGTGTCATCGACCAGGTGGCAGAAACCCTCTGGGAACAGGTACGTGTTCTAGAGCCTCCAAGTCCCTCCCTTCCTTTTTTTCCTTTTCCTTTGTGTTGTATTTTCTTCTCTCTTTTGTCCTCTCTTACCCTTTTTACTCAGGGCATGAAATAGCCTCTGTAATGTAAGACTGACTGTCCCATCTTTCCTCTCGTTTGCTATTTTTCTCTTTTCACATCTGTATTAACGCAGATTTGCCACGTAGGAGTGCTGATTTTAAAATCGGATCACTCCCCTGTTTATGATGGCATTAGTCACCGAGGCTGATCCTGCGTCAGATTTTTATTACAAAAACTCGCCCTGACTTTCCTCCATTTCCTGCCTGTCCACTTTAATAAACGTCCACCAACAAACAGCCCTCTAAAGTTGACAAATGACTTTAATATCCAGAAATAATCTTTAAAAAAAATATATTACTTTTTACTGGGATGCATACTAACTACGTTTTGTATCCAGTCGGACACAAAGCCGTCGGTCATTTCAAACATTGCAATTTGGCTGATTCTCGCCAGGAATACACTGTGGATTTTAGCCCGTTTTAAACACACACAATCACAAAAGCTTCCCCGATACAGGTAGGGACATTCAGGTCGACTAAGTGGAGGAGGGGAAAAAAAGTCAGCCTTTGCTATTCTGTGCCGACGTGACTCTGTTTGACTGAATACAATAGCGAGGTAAATGGTAATACAGTTTTGTTTTGGTTTTTTTATTTATTTATTAATTTTTTTTATTTTTTTTTGGTATTAATTTTTTGTAAAATAGAGAGACCGTATTGTCCTTCCTTGTCCATCAGCACCTGCTTTTAGCTTCAGTGCTCAGTGTTAGTTGAGCTGCTCAGTTTCTCTAAGTTCAGTACTCGGAGCGTAGTGTGTCGTGTTTAATGAAACTGTCCGTAGACCGAGCTGTTTGTAGAGGCTGCATTTCACATATAAATCTTAAGCTTTGTCTGTACATGGCGGTCTTTTCAAACCTGCAGTGAGAGTCACCAAAGAACAAGATTTCTGAAATCAAACAGTTTGTGGGGCTTCAGAGGACATTCGCCCACAGCTTAGTCAGCCAAACAAAATACTCCCAAAACGACGTAAAACCCGAAACATGAGCTCATCAGATGCTTTAGATTTGGATATGATTCCTGCTGTTGCTGTGCTACAGAGACTGTTGTTGAGAAAGGAGGAGCAAAACTGAGTTGTACTTTACTTACAGCCATATAGAAGCGCTTTTCTGCCAGCTCTTCACCACCACAGCGCTACTCGATCCAGTGTAGAACTTACGCAGCATAGCAAACTAATGCACTTCATTTAAAATCAGCTCGATTTTAATGATTTACCTTTTTAAGGTGCATTGCACTCATTTACATTAACAACTGCTTCTAAGCAGGTTACTCAGTATGGTATCAGACTCTGTATCGGCGAGTACTAAATATCTCAGTTGTTGGAAGAAAACCTCGTATCTCCAGTTTTGACGTTTTTCAGTTTTTGACATAATTTGAAAATACACGTTACCCTTTATGTTGTATGTAAATTTCATGATAAATGGACTAATAGAAAAGACCCAAAATGACCTGGAAAAAAGTCTGGTTCCATTGACTTCCATTTAAAGTAAAGTAGGTTTTTTTTCCTTCTCCTGTAAAGTTACCATTTTGGAGATACAAGGTTTGGTTCAGACAGCAGTGATATGTAATTGTACTCTGACTGGTAAGTGGTATTGATGCATCCCTAGAAACCATAGTAAACATGACCCTGCATAAGAACAGGGTTTTAACAACCACCTTGCCTGGCTGACAGTTTTTTGATTTTTAGTTTAGTTTTATTAGATAGTGTAGACTATATTCAGATTCAACTAGGCGCTCACTGCTTGTTTCTGATGGATTATATGCCTGCCATAAAAATAAAAAATCTGGATGCGTTGAGAATTGTTTTGTAATTACATCTTGCTTTCCTGAGTTGAAATGTAATCATGAGATTCCCACCCTAATAATTATGCCTAATTGGATGTGGTGCAGCACAGTGTGTGAAATGTTGAATAATCATTATGTTCATTGCTTTGTACAGTATTTTATTTATTTATTTTATGTAACCCCACTGGGGCTGTTTGGCCTGTTGCAGCTTAAATCTCAGAGAATAACTAGTAGTAACATAGTGGTATCACCCATCATAAGTTTAAAGGCTTTTCTCACCCTTTCACTTCTTTTCTCTTCCTTCCTGCTAATATCCTTATATTCTCTTCTCACTTCATGCTAAACAGAGGACTCCGAGAAAGGTGAGATGTCCTTTTGAGAACACTGCCCCCTTGTGGCTGTCTCTCGTTTTACCATTCACTCATCTGTGGCCTGCTCACTAACAGACATTCCCTGTTTTAGGTGTTTTCCAAGCTTTTCGAGGTTGCCCGGAGCAAAGTGACGTTGGGTGCCCTTCTGCCCGCCCAGCGAAAGAGACTGTCCTCAAACAACAATGTGAAGAAGAAAAACTAGCCGTGACGTTCTGTGCTCTGTTTCACAGAGCCCTTTTTAGGACTTCTCCTTCCTGCTGAGTGCACATCCTGGGCGCCCTGCTGGGTTAGGTTAAAAAGAAAAACAGAACAAACTGCTATGTATACCTGGTTCACTACATTTCTAGAATGCAGGTTGGCACTTTCATCAAGATATTTTGTTGGTCTTCGCCATATGTGTGCTGATGCGTGTTATAGGGGAAATGGAGGACAATGCAAAGTCTTAAAGTTTCACATTTTACACGCATCGTCCTTTATATGCTTCTAGTGTGCTTTTTTTCTGTTTTCGACTGTCCTGCTTTTTGTGTGTGCGATCTTTCGTCATTCCCTCGTTTTGCTTCGGCGTTTTCCATTCATTTCCATTCCTTTTTCTCGTCCTTCTCCTTCGTTTTGTTTTGTTTTGTTTTTTTTCTTTCATCTTTCATCTCTCTCCTCAGGTGTTGAAGCCTCAGAGTGATCAGTACGTGGAGGAGAGCGTTAGGCGAACTCAGTCAAAGCTTAAGTGAGCATGCCAAGTTACAGACAAACTGACATTGCAGTGGCGCTCCACGCTGCGCGATCATAGAGCCAAAGTTTACGTCATTTTTACTGCAGACTTTGTAGAGCGTACTCTCTCCTGAACACTTGAGACGCGGACATTGGTGGTGGCGGGTTTGCCGCTAGAGAAAAGCACTGGCCCTGGCTTTGTGATTTCAAGAAAAGTTACCTTAAACTTTCAAAGTTCACCGATCAGGCATAATTATGACCACCTCCTTGTTTCTACGCTCATTGTCCATTTTATCAGCTCCGCTTACTATATAGGTGCACTTTGTAGTTCTACAGTTACAGACTGTAGTCCATCTGTTTCTCTGATACTTTGTTAGCTCCCTTTTACCCTGTTCTTCAGTGGTCAGGACCACCATGGACCCTCACAGAGCAGGTACTATTTGGGTGGTGGATCATTCTCAGCACTGCAGTAACACTGACGTGGTGGTGTTGTGTTAGTGTGTGTTGTGCTGGTCTGAGTGGATCAGACACAGCAGTGCTGCTGGAGTTTTTAAACACCTCAATCTCACTGCTGGACTGAGAATAGTCCACCAACCAAAAATATCCAGCCAATAGCGTCCTGTGGGCAGCGTCCTGTGACCACTGATGAAGGACTAGAGGATGACCTACACAAACTGTGCAGCAGCAGATGAGCTATCGTCTCTGACTTCACATCTACAAGGTGGACTGACAAGGTAAGAGTGTCTAATAGAGTGGACAGTGAGTGGACACAGTGCTTAAAAACTCCAGCAGCAGAGTCCATGGGGGTCCTGACCACTGAAGAACAGGGTAAAAGAGGGCTAACAAAGTACACAGAGAAACACATGGACTACAGTCTGTAACTGTAGAACTACAAAGTGCACCTATATAGTAAGTGGAGCTGATAAAATGGACAATGAGTGTAGAAACTAGGAGGTGGTCATAATGTTACATCTGATCAGTGTGTATTACTGAAGCAAGCCCATTTTAACAGGTTACTTGTCCACTGAATAAAACAAGGCCCTTATTGTATTCACTCATGGTTATTAGGTCATACAGAGACTGTCGGCTGTTTGTCTCAAATTGGAGTTTTAAATCACACTGTTTTTTGCCCATCACACTTGGTTTGAACGTACATTTAGGAGAGAACCGCTGCGTTTTATCATGACGTGTGACGCGTCTCATGTTCCGCAGTATTATAAAGATTGTAAGTACAAATCACGGTGGAAAAGGTTGACCAATGATGGTGGTGAAGTGAAATTTCCTGGTACACAGTTTCTTCTTTAGGCCTACCCAATCACATTTGCTATCTCCCTGCTGTATAATAGAATAATTACATTTTTCCTTCTTTGATAATTCCATCCACAAGGTGACAGCCAACATATGCTATCCTGTACAGTTTAGATTTTTTTAAACTTGTCACAAATAGGGCATGTGTATGGAACATAAATGTATAATTAAATTTTCTATACCTTTTTTTTTTTCTAGCTGGAAGAACAATGGTTTTGTGGTAGGCCAATGTGCGGTTAATTTAAAGGAATGCTTTCGTGATTTGTGTAAATGTTGGAAGAATAAAATTTACTTTTTTCTTTTTTTTTAAATATATATATATAAATATACATTAAATCTGCCTTGAGCACCACAGTTCCACTCTTGCTGATGAGCATTGGAATGTTTATAATCTTTCACTTGTTTTGTTTCATTTTAAAGTTATTTTTCTTTAATTTATTTTTCAATACAAGATTAAAATGAACCACTGTATATCAAAGACTCTATCCCTTGTGTGCTGATTTGTTAATGCACTTTATTTACTTTATTTTACATATTTTAAGAGTTGAATCATTTGTGTTTATGCAAAAAAGTATTTATTTATTTATTTAGGTGATTTGCAGTATTGAAGGTCCATTTTAATCGCCAAACCAATGTACAGTTCAAATAGAACTTCATTAATCAGGCGGTCTGGAGAAAAATTTACCCATCAGTCATTCTGGTGTGTGTTCTGTTCTGTTTGTTGATGTCTTTGCTGGGAGTTCTGAAAGTTGTGGTTTTAATCAACTATTTCTTCAGAATTCCTGCATGTTTCAGTGTTTGAGATGTAAATGGAGTCATTCAGAGTGGTTTGGAGTGAAATGGTTGATTGTAGAGACTCAGATGTCTTTACAGTGGTGGTGATAAGAACCAGGGGTCACCATGTCTACAACACAAATATAGGCATATTATTCACTATCCAAAACCACCAGTGAACCTACAGGAGTCTTCAGAGTTTTATATGGGATGTTGATGGTACAATAGTGAGAGTTTTCTTCAGGCACTACTTTGCATTACCATGCCCTGTATCTCAGTCTCAGGAATCAGGCAGCGTATTCCTCACTATTTCATGATACAGCTTTCTGTGATGGCACTTTTAGAGGCATTAACCTCCAGACGTCGGGTTCCTATCACCACCACTGTGAACAATTCTGACTGCACGTTTCTCTTGAGCAAGCATTTTGCGTCAGACCACTGTGATTACTATATCTTAGTGATTTAATTATGCAGAAAATGAGAAAGATGAGAAGATCTTCCATATCCTACATTTTTCTTATATTTTAGTATTTTTTTTTTTAGCAGTCCATTTGCATCAACAATGTACATTTTATTTATTTTTTTTAATTTTTAAAAACATGATTGTTTTCCAACCGCTATTTATACCTTTTGAATTAAATAGGCTTTTAAGGCTTGTATAAGTAAATGACCTTTACCATCACAGTGCAGGGTGGTCAGTCAGAATAGCTATTATTTACATATCGCTGTTGTCGGAACAAAACCTCGTATATCCAAAATGGTAACTTTTCAGGAGAAAGAAAAAAAAACCTACTTAATTTTTAATGTAAGTAAATGGAACCAGAATTTTTTCCAAGTAATTTTTGGTCGTTTTTTTTTTTGGTCTATTTTTCATTAAATTTACACACAATCTAATGTAGGGCGACAGGCATTTTCAAATCATGTCAAAAACTGAGAAACAACAAAAATCGAGCGGCGATATGAAAATTATGATTGGCTGTTCTGTACTGTGACTGGGTGGAGCTAAACTGCTGTAGGCTGGCAGATATATGTAAATTCATGATTTTCATGACATCGCAAAAACTTTTTTTTCAAAGCAGGCTGTTTTTGGAGCTTAGTTTCTATATGAACTGGAAACTCAAAAAACTGGAAGTGCGCTTGAGAAAGATATAGAATTGGCTATTATGTTAAAACAGATCAAGTTGATACTTTATTTAACCCAATATTGAAATGTACTTCAAGTATTACAGTTAAACAAAACATAACTACCTGGGCATTAACTGTCAATCAATCTAATAAAGAATAATGTCTAATGGGATGCAAAGGCAAAGAAATTCTGTTGTACTTAAAATAGGATTCATCCCACATTGCTCAGGTATTTAGAATTACTTTTTTTGTTCCGTGTGTTCAAATGTTCAACATACTGCAATTCAGTCTGGAGAGTTTGGCACAGGAGACATGATTTTATTGGCATCTGTTTGCATATTGAGTGTATCTTTCTCCTCATTTTGCTCACAGTCTCTGTTGTCTTTCCTCCAAGTCTTCCCTTGGGTGTATGCTCACATTCTGTGTTCTGGTTAATCATGGCCACCTCTGAACAAACTCAAATAAGAGTTAGACCAGTAAACCAGCGCTAGTAAATCGAGCTCAAAAACCTTTGAGTTGAGTTGGAAATGTCAAAGCGGCTTCATTTTAGCCAATTTCAGTAAATTACGTTGGATCAACAAAATTGGCTTATTTTGAAAAAAAAACCCATTGAATTGTGTGTAAATCTTTTCTGTAATTTAGTTAAGTTTGGGTAAATAATTGTTATTTATTTGATAAATTTGATAATATACATATTTTCTAGTATAAATATTTCAGTCTTGGGCAGCACGGTGACGCAGTGGATTCGATTGCCTCACAGCGAGAAGGGCCTGGGTTCGATTCCCCAGCCGGGTGACCAGGGTCCATTCTGTGTGGAGTTTGCATGTTCTCCCCATGTCTGTGTGGGTTTCCTCCTCCCACAGTCCAAAGACATGCAGTCAGACCAATTGGACACGCTAAATTGCCCCTGGGCGTGTGTGTGAATGTGTCTGTCTGCCCTGCAATGGACTGGCGACCTGTCCAGGGTGTTTCCTGCCTCCCACCAATGTCTGCTGGGATAGGCTCCAGGGCCCCCCCACGACCCAGAAGGATAAGTGGCTTAGAAAGTGTGTATGTGTATTTCAGTCTTCACTAAGACATCTGAGTAAAGAATCATTAAACTCTGCTGTCATAACTGTTAAAATCGAGATACATACACAATATATATTAAACTGGCTGTGTTTATTCCCATATTCACCAACCTCCGCATTTAGTTGCATGAAATTATTTGTTCCCCAAGTATGAGATATTTGACGTAACAAATGTTTATTTTCAAGTATTAGTGAAAAAACATCTCAAAAACTGACCCGTTGTTTTTCAGAGATAAAATTTCAGTAACAAAAACAAAAGAACCAAAAAGGTGAGAGGTCAGTTTGTCATAAATTACAGACCAACCAGAATATATATATATATTTATATATAAATCTGTACATGGCAATGCATCTATGATGAAGCACATACATATTTATCAAAGGATCAAACATAGCACCAACACAGCTGCAGGTCAGGATCCATAGTGTTTGATTTCTAAACCTCCTCGTGTTCATTAAATAGCACCAGCATCTGTTGGGTAGGATAAGGAAAGCTGTTCACTGGTAATGAGGCACACTTGTTCTCATTTTTCTCTTTTTGTAGACTGTCAGGGCAACTGATTGGGGTTGTAATTTGACTGAACAGTACCGAGTGGCCTTGCGGTTTGTGAAAATGAGATTTATGGGTCAAAAGGTCAAACTTTTGGTACCAACCACTACAGCAATGAGCAAAGCTCTCGGTCCCGGGTTGAGCCACATATCTACCTTTTGGCAACTGACATTTTGGACATGGACATCCTAATGAGCTTGAAATGTGTTTGTTTGTTTAGCTGTGGGTAAAGGAACAAAACAAGCGCTGCTGGATTAATCTGGGACATTTCATGATGCAGGAATTTGAAGCAAAATAAATGCCAGTTCCGTCATGTGCAGGTAAGAGATGCTTTACTTCGGAAATCTATTTGAATTTTTCAGCCAATAACACAGAACTGCAACCCCACTGATCAATGAAATGAAAACGTTCACTGCAGACAAAATGGAAACAGCACAAGGAATCTAAAGGGAGGGAGAAACTACAGAAAGCAAGCAATGGACGTGGAAAAGATCTCAGCTTGGGTAAGAGCCAAACAATATGCAGAAATTGGATTTCTGTATTATTCTATCATTTTAAATCTAATGAAAGTAATTAAAGGGCAGCTCTACATTTGTTCAACATCCGTGCATAATTCAGTGATTGAGATGTAAACAGAGGCATTCAGAGTGTTTTGATGTGAAATGATTGATTGAAGAGAAACTTACTGGCTCAGATGTCTTTACAGTGGTGGTGATAGGAACCAGGGGTCATAATATCTACACACAAATATAGTTATAGTTATAATAACACAAATATAGCTATTTTATTTACTATCCAAAGCCACCAGTGATCCATAGAGTTTTTATATGTATTGTTGATGATGATAAAATGGCATTAAATTTGAAAACAAACAAAACTCTTTGGGGTCTGTTTTGCCTCACAATGCCATGCATGTACATCTCTGCCATGAAAGCTTTAAAGCTTTAGACGTCTGGTTCCTATCACCACCATTATGAACAGTTCTGACTCAGTAAGTTTGTGTTTTCACACCGAACAACTCTTGAATGGTTTTGTTTACATCTTAGCCATTTAATCATGTAGAAATTTTGAAAAATCAGTGGAATTCCCCTTCCCCTTTAAATATTTGGTTGCCTACATTGGCAATGGCAAATGTCTCTAAAAAGTCCCATTCGCAGTAAATCCTCATTTCCCGTCACTCTCTCTTCTACTCTGAGGTTGGCAATGACCAGATGTGTACTAAGATTCCCCTTCTATCTACTTCCAATGCATTCTCTTATTCCCTCCCTCTGGCCCAGTCTAATACTCTAACATGCTTCCCCTTTTTTGGTCAACCATTAATACTGCTCTTAGGAACAGGTGGTCAGATCCACATATACTGCTGTATTCTGTTCACTCTGTAAAAGGGTCAGTTACACTGAGGGGGAAAAGCCCAAAGTAAACTTGGTCCTCTGCTTAAACCTAATCAAAAGTCCAGAATCCCCACAGCCTGTAATCTGTTTGTCTTAGCCTTGTTCACTCCTTCCCCGTCCCGTCCGTCCCTGTACAGGGTGAGAGGATGACGAAGGAGCGAAAGTCCTGTTTTTATTTATTTATTTTTTTTTTGCTGTCCAGTTCTTCTGATCTCCACTAAAGGAAATTGTTAGAAATCTGGCGTTGGTGCTCAAACAGGTCCTCCACCTCTGCGCTGTAGGCATCACCTGTAGGAGCACAAGAGGAGCAGATGTGAAGACAGAGTAACTCTGAATCTAATTCTAGATCGCTGTTGTCGGAAGAAAACCTTGGATCTCCATTTTTGACGTTTTTCAGTTCATGTTACCTTTTACTCTGTCTGTTAATTTCATGATGAATGGACCAAAACAAACGGCCCAAAATGACTTGGGGAAAAAGTCTGGTTCCATTGACTTACATTAAAAGTAAAGTATGTTTTTTCCTTCTCCTGTAAAGTTACCATTTTGGATATATGAGGTTTTCTTCCAACAACAGCAATGTGTGTGTGTGTGTGTGTGTGTGTGTGTGTGTGTGTGTGTGTGTGTGTGTGTGTGAATGAATATAATAGTTCAGCAACACACAACCTCCCATCCTGCAGCTAAGTTGAAACTTCTAGAATTAGGCAAAGTTCCTCTGCCCCTGTCTATGGCCAGGAAACAGAATGTTTTATTTACTGTTACTATTAAAGGGTTGGGCTTGTATGGGGCCTTTAAAAGCCATTAGAGTGATATAATAAATAACCACGATTTTTAACTAGAAAATATCATGCTAATTACTTTCAGATACCATCTAGTCCTACAGTGTGGTGCAAGCTAGCAAAGCTGCTGTAGCTCAGTCAGACATGGTTCATGAGGACCCTGGCCTCTTCCTATTTTCCCCATCATCAGCCCACAAGTGAGTCCTCAGTGAATGGGAGTAAATGGAGCTAAATGGCTAAAAATGCTAAAAAAGCAAAGAAAACTCACCTGTATGTTTCCTTTTGTCTACGGCAAACGGGTTTAGTGCAGTACAGTTCTAACATTACTGCTAGTGAGTGCTGACTGGTTGGCGGGCGGAGCAGCTCATTGGCTGTTCGCGCTCACTGATGCGCTCACTGAGACGTTTTAAACTCGAGTTAAAAGCTCTTAAATATATAACAGCAGTGTTAAAATGTTTTATGCTGTTCTATGTTCAGGAAATGAATGTTTTCTTTAATAAGTAATAAGCATTTATAAACTATGATTTTGCTCAAATGCTCCGCCTTAACTCCCATTTTGAACTCGCTCAGGAGCGCCCTCTAGCGTTTCAGAAACCTGGAAGACATTACAGAGTGGTAATTCTCCTCTCTGACTCAGTTTCTCAGCGTTTCTGGGACGTCAGTGTGTTGTTTTGAATGAAACAGCGTTATTGAAATGTGTCCATTGACAGGGCTGTCTGTGGGAGTCATGTCAGACAGAGCGCTATGGGCGATTCGAATGTGCCGTGTGAGCTGTCACCAAAGAACAATGCTGCACTGGCTTACAAGGTCCATACTGCTGCTCATAAAATTTTTTTAGCAAGTTATTAGCGCCCCCTGCTGCCCACATTATGTTTGGTCTTTGTTCAAAATAACTACGTTGCTGGATTTATTGGAATGTAGCACTTTAAGTGACATCATCAGTGCTTTATTGGCAGGACTTATAAATGTGTAACGCTGGCAGCGGTACTGTACCAGAGGGGGCGCCAAAGAGCAACGAAGCTTGTGTAACCAAAGCCGACCCTTTCAGCAACCTCACTGCTGGGCTTTAGTTACATTTAAACATTTGTGTGTCTCTTTGGTCGCTTGTTCAGTCATCTTGCCAGTTTTTCTTTTTTTCTCATATCACTCTGTTTGGAGTCTCTGAAAAACCTCTGTTTGGAGGGCCATGTAGCCCGGACACTTCACCCCACCCCTCTATCTCAACAAGAATTGGGACACCCTACCCCTAGACGTGAACACGCAAAACAGAGGGCTAAGGGCTGAGTGGTAGGGGCGAGGGGTGAAAAACTCCTCCTCCTGTAACTCGCTATTACTGTTGCTTATTAGTGAATTCACTCATTCACTCACAGTAGTTTTGTCAGCTGTTGTGTGAAATTAGTCCTTTAATTGAAGAAAATGATTTAATCGGCCACTTACCTACGTGACATCCGTACAGATAGACTCTCCCTCCGTCATACTTGCATCTGCATCGCATTACATTGTTCTCGAAGTCTGACTCGGCCATGTCCAGCGAGGGGTTAACTTCAACCTACAGAAACCAAAGAACAAGTACTGACCACAACATCTCAGAGGGAAAACCTTCATCATCATATACCCCTCCAGACTACAAAGACGCCTCACTCCATTTAGCGTGAACTGTGCTGAAAGAGGGCCACGTTAGAGTGGTGCGTTTGTACTGTGAGCCTATCATTAAGAAGCCTTTCCATCTTCTCCTTCTTCCCATATACAGTACGTTTCTGAAGGAGAAAGCAAGCCAAAATGACTGTTCCATCTTTTCAGCATGCAATTTTAACAGGTTCTATTTAATAACACATTGACTCTTGTTTTTTCCATGTGGAGAGGACCACTCGTATCCACATAAAAAAACAACCAAATTACAAAGTACAAATAGTTTGATGAACATCTTTCATTATATTTTCAGGCTAATTTGAACCATTGTCGGGACCAAGAGCTATTTGCTTCCTTGCCCAAAGCCCTGACATATGATAGTTTTTAAAATCGAAACTATTCTGTGCTGTGGTTTTGTTCTAATTATTGTCTTAATCACTTACAAAAATAAACAAAAATAAAAAGGGTATTCAATCAAAAATAAAAGAAAGTAGAATAAAAGACTTCAGCTGCTGAGTTTTTGTGGAAGGGAGAAAAAGGCTTCTTCTTTGTTTCAGCATCAGATGGCACAGGGTCTCGAGAGACCCCAACTGCGCAAATACAGTGTTCCAAACAACAGTTTATAAACCATTTATCTGGGGTAGTTTGATATCCCCCCACCTTACTTCTCAAATTTTGATATTAGCTCATTCTCTAATAGCTGCATCTCTTCGTCCATCAATTTGGCCATCGCGTGATGAGCTCACTCCGAAAAACTGGCTTCAACAGGTTTTTACCAGCCTGCTCTACCTTTCAAGGTCAACTTGCCCCTCTCTACACTGGGTCAGTAGGCACACACAGGCCTGTCTGTGAACCCAGGGGCTTTCCAGTGTCTAGACTCTCCTATGCAGACAGACTAAGGCCGACCCTTTGTGAGAGAATTAATATTCTCTGTTAGGCAATACTTCCTATTTGGTTAATGATTACAACATCTAATCTGTTTCATTACTGATTAAGGGAATATTTATTCAAAATCTCCATCACCATTGTTTTAAATTATTGCAGGTTTATTACACTTATAATGTCGGTGACTATTTAACTCTGATTCTGCAGCAAAGTCACAGCTTCATCTGTTCTTAATGATTCCCAGGTAATAAAATGAGGGCAAACAAGTATTCATACTCTTGGCTTTTTGTTATTTAATATGCTTTGAGTCTGTTTATCCACTACAGATTTACCCAAATAATGTCTTTTGACTCTGTGCTTATACATATGAGCAAAAAGTTTGTATTCATAGCTTTGAGACTTGAGACAGTATGAAGTAATTTAGCTTTTTGCCGCACTGTGGTTCAGATTTGGCCCTTTCATCTTTGTAGACCATCTACAAACCCCTAAAGTTGACGAGGGTCACTCTGATGGCCTCCCAAGTTAAAAATCCTCCATAAATTTTCAGTGGGATTCAAGTTGGGAGATTGGTAGATCAGTGGTTCCCAACCTGGTCCTCAAAGCCCCCTGGATGGTCCACGTTTTTGCTCCAACCTGACTCACAATACATAAGGATAAAGGAAAAATGTGGACTAAAAGACCAGGTTAGGAACCACTTGGTTATTCCATACAAGCCTCTTCACCTTTTTTAGAAACCAGTCTTGAGTTATTTTGGCTCCATGTCTGTGGTCATTTTTCTCTTTGAACTATCCATTGTCTCCCTACATTCAGTTTCTTGGCTGATGAAATTAAATTGTCCTTAAATATCTCTCAGTACATCGCTCCGTTCATGTTCCCTTCAATGTTGTCTAATGCTCCAGTGCAGTTCGCAGAGAAGCAGCCCTATATTATGATGCTCCCACCTCCATGCTTCACTGTAGGTGTTGGGATCATACATGCAACTCTACTTTCTTCAAACAGGAAGGTTTGCTCCCTCTTACTCTGAGGTCAACTTTTTTTCAAGTGGCTGTTGGTGTCTCTCTTACCTTCCTTATCATTAGTCTGAGAGAAATGTTGCATAGCACACCTGTTCAGGGACGACTGTGGCTCCATGAACTTTCCAATTGCTGACTAACTGACCAGTTGTATTGACAGCGATGTTTAAGGTCTTCTTTAGGGCTCTGAGAACTTTACGAAGCTCCTCCAGCTTCACCATAACAGTTTCTTGTTACGTGAAATCTTCACAAACCAGGCATAACATTATGGCCACCTCCTTGTTTCTACGCTCATTGTCCATTTTATCAGCTCCTCTTACTATATAGGTGCACTTTGTAGTTCTACAGTTACAGACTGTAGTCCATCTGTTTCTTTTTCGTTACCCTGTTCTTCAGTGGTCAGGACCCCCATGGACCCTCACAGAGCAGGTACTATTTGGGTGGTGGATCATTCTCAGCACTGCAGTAATGCTGACGTGGTGGTGGTGTGTTAGTGTGTGTTGTGCTGGTCTGAGTGGATCAGACACAGCAGCGCTGCTGGAGTTTTTAAACACCTCAGTGTCACTGCTGGACTGAGAATAGTCCACCAACCAAAAATATCCAGCCAACAGCGTCCTGTGGGCAGCGTCCTGTGACCACTGATGAAGAACAAGAGGATGACCAACACAAACTGTGCAGCAGCAGATGAGCTATCATCTCTGACTTTACATCTACAAGGTGGACTGACAAGGTAGGAGTGTCTAAGAGAGTGGACAGTGAGTGGACACAGTGTTTAAAAGTTCTGCAGCACTGCTGTGTCTGATCCACTCAGACCAGCACAACACACGCTAACACACCACCACCACACCAGTGTTACGCAGTGCTGAGAATGATCCACCACCCAAATAGTACCTGCTCTGTGAGGGTCCATGGGGGTCCTGACCACTGAAGAACAGGGTAACGAAAAAGAAACAGATGGACTACAGTCTGTAACTGTAGAACTACAAAGTGCACCTATATAGTAAGTGGAGCTGATAAAATGGACAATGAGCGTAGAAACAAGGAGGTGGTCATAATGTTATGCCTGATCGGTGTAAATATTTTTAATACAGTGAATGAATACTTTTTTCCCCCTAGTTGTTTAGTTTTTTTATCTTTGTTTATGCTTATGAATGCTGAGTTTTTTGTTCATATTTCATCCCCTTGGAATTATAAGGTTCTGTCTGTGTTGTGAGCAGTTCTGAGATATTGAGCTTCAAAGATTTTGCATTCCAAATAGCAAAACTGGAACACGTCGCTTTCGTAACATACAAATGACAGACACCCTAAATATATTCTAAATGTACAAATCAAAATCCTGTGAAATGTGTAAGTGAGTTTTTTTGGAGCAGGTCAAATGCAGAAAGAACCTTCTAATCCTAAGAACCCACTTTCTGCTTGGAGTTATAAGGTTCTATCTGACAAAACATGAAAAGAAGCAATGATTTTCAGGGAGCACAAACAGTTTACTTGTAATTTGTTTTAAAACATAAAATGAGTGTAACAGAGTGTCTACATGTATAAGAAAGTTACATTTAAAGCTTTCTATGACATTTATGGCCTTTATTTTCATGATTTATTTATTGTTTATAACATTTATTTCTTGTTTTAGGACAAATGATCTATTTATTATTCAAAAAAAGCTTTGCAGATTAAGTATGAAGGTCAGTGCTAAATGTTTTGTCCAGTGCAGAGGTCAGTTTTAGGTAGGAACCATTAGTTTAACTTTCCTTTAGTCAGACAGAAACCAGCTACTGTAATAAACTGTCCCAGTGAGTCAGCGGAGCAGGTCAGTCTAAAGGCAGTGTGAGGTTTTGTTTGAGACTCTAATGCACCAGAATGTCTTATTTTGGGAGAAAGAAGGAAGGAATCCAAAAGATGGAGGAATTAATGAAATGAATGTTTATGTTGTATTTAAGGCCTCATCAATTCAAATGTTTACTGTTTAATTACCTTTAAGGCTTAATATTTATAATATGTATAATATTTCAGACAATAAGACTTTTTAAAGAACTTAAAGAAGACAGGCAGAGTTTCTGCAACATGTTCTCATGTTTCATACAGTTTTATAGACTTTTCCTGCAGTCACTGAGCAGTGCAGCGACATGACAATGAAGAACCTGATTGGTCCTCTTGTGTGTATTTAAAGTTCTGATTGGCTCACAGACAGAACCTTATAGAATTATGGGTGACACTTTATTTTGAGTATCCTTTTAGATGAAACAAACACTCAGCAGACTCTCAGTAACATGTCAAAAACATATGAGGGTTAGGATTAGGGTTAGGATTAGGACTAGGGTTAGGGTTAGGATTAGGTTTTGGGTTGAGGTTAAGGTTATGGTTAGGATTAGTGCCAGGGTGAGGGTTAGGATTAGGTTTTGGGTTGAGGTTAAAGTTAGGGTTAGGATTAGTGCCAGGGTTAGGATTAGGGTTAGGATTAGGACCAGGGTGAGGGTTAGGATTAGGTTTTGGGTTGAGGTTCAGGTTAGGGTTAGGATTACTGCCAGGGTGAGGGTTAGGATTAGGTTTTGGGTTGAGGTTAAGGTTAGAGTTAGGATTAGTGCCAGGGTGAGGGTTAGGTGTTGGGTAAGGTTGGTAAGGTTAGGTTCTGCGTAATGGACGTAACATATTAACAAAACATCTACTTAATGTAAGTAATGTATCAACAGAACATCTACAAGATATTTACTTCAGTGTATTCAGAGGCTTCACTACAGCTACTTCACTGATATGTTGTTGATGTGTTACTGATACTCTGTTAAGAGTTTATTAATCATCTACGAAGGATCACTGCAAAATAAAGTGTTACCGAATTATGTTAGACTTTGCCTTTGGAGATAGAACCTTTTTTGTTTTCTAGATAAAGAGTCCAAAAATGCTCACAACCTAAAAAACCACCTCACATAATGTTGTCACAGAATAAGAATATGTAAATAACTCAATTTTGATAGATAGAACCTTATCATTTCAAAGGACTGATTTATAAGTACAGAGTCAAAACACTATGTTTGTTAATCTGGATTGGATCTATGCTTGGGAAGTATATTAAATAACAAAAACCAAAGTGTCTGAAAACTTGTTTCCCTTCACCGTCTTCTTCCTCTGATGTCTGATCTGTCTAATCAGAGTTAGAGTGGCGGTAGATTGCAGAGCTGATTCCTAAATGACTGTGCAATCATGGAGGCTCAGCTAGAGGTAGTCATGAGTAATGCTCTTAAATGTATGCTTTCTAAAACAGGCACACCACAGCTTGGGCCACTTTTCAGGGAGAACGCCCAGCGCTCTCACTAACTCACTTTATAGTAGGGTTTCTTGGCAACCTAAAGCAAAGCGCCAGCGTATCCTAAGACACATCTGAGTAAGCAGTCTTTGATCTCCACTGTAAACTTTATCATACAGATGGTATTGCCATTGTCCCGCTGAGTTTTAATGCTATGTTTGCCACCGTCCTGCTATACTGGGAAAACATAGGCAGAGAATATAGTGACTCAGTGGAGGGGCGAAATGGAAAAACGTCCATTTTTATCTCATCTGCGTTCAAAAAAGAAGCGCTGATGGGTTTTTTTGCCACCGCATAAAACTGCATCACCTTCATTTGTCCCATTACATTCTCCTCCTTTACAAGGATTTCCATCGTGTTTTATTGTAGTGGTTGGGTTTATGGGTTTCGATTGAACGTGGTGATGAGAATAGACCCCTGTTAAAAACACTCCTTTAGGTTCACAGGAGCAGACAAGGTGCAGCGCTTTCACACAGCAGTAAAAGCGCTGACTCATGCCCTTTTTCACCGCCAGCCGTTTCTCTCAACCATTACAATAATAGCAGGGCTAGAGAGCCTTAAACTGGGGCTGAATCCCTCCATTTTTAACACAGCACTCCAACACGTGGAGGCACGCACGCCACACCACAGCGAACTACAGTCCCTATCTGCGCTCCATCGCTGGCCAGGCATTACGCTCCCACTGCCAGCGGGATGTTCTTCCAAGAAAACGAGGAGAAAAGAGCGTTTTAGAACAATTAAACCAAAAAATGGTGCGTGACTTTCAGAGCGGTTATAACAAAGCTTCTGTACAGTACTCTGCTAATTTTAAAACATCTTTATTTTCTCTGGTAACAAGGTTATTTCGCTTAATTGAGATTGGCGAAAAGCTTTGCATGCTGATTCATTTTTGCCCTCCTTTGAGGTTTAAAAGTGGAGCGTCACATGACCGAAGTGTGGAAGGACTCTGAAAGGGCCTACTGCCATAATGGGAGAGGACCGTAGGAACCAGAGTGGCAAAAGTAATGTAATTATGATAAACATGACAGACTGACGACCTATAATTTATGTTACAAATTAAAATGCAGTACACTGCCCGTCAGACTGTCCAGTTTGGACACTTCCTTCTGTTTAAATGCTTGATTTTCACTTTTGCCTTCCAGTTAAAGGCAAATTCCACTGATTTGTAAAAATGTCCGCATAATTAAATGGTTAAAATGTAAACAAAGTCATTCAGAGTGGTTTGGTGTGAAATGCTCCATCCTAGAGAAACTCACCGAGTCAGAACTGTTCACAGTGGTGGTAAAAGGAACCAGACGTCTGAACAGTTTAATGCCTCTAAAAGTTTCCTCACAAAAGGTTATTATGTAAAAAGGTTATGAATGTAAAAAGGTTATTATGTAAAAAGGTTATGAATATGCTGCCTGATGCCTGATATGTTGCTTTACAGTGGTTTAGAGATGATTTTCAGCCTAAAGCTTTTTTTAAATATATACAGAATGTATATGCAGAGTGTTGTGAGTAAAAATAGTCCACATAGGTTTTTTTTATCTTTCAGATTTACCATTATTTTACCAGTATTAAAATTATATATAAAACCCAAGACAAGTGTAGGTCCACTGGTTGTTTTGCCTAGTAAATAAAAAGGATGGATCTGATAGGATCCCTAGGCCGGATTACAGGAACTTCCTATCTTTTTGTCTTAAGTGAAGATCTGACAGGTCAATATAAGATTTTTCACAAATTCATATTACAGAAGCAAATCTTATCTTAATTCATGAATCTCATCTTACAGCGTCTTATCTAAAGTTAGGAAATCTTAACTTATGCAATCGAGTCAACAATCAATTGTCATGTCTGTTACCTAGTAACCAACCATATGCGCACAGCTGAAATGTAAACACATAATTAATCAAGTTAGTTAACCGGACAGCTACCATTACTGATGTAAAAAAGATCAAACAGAGCTAAAGTGTGATAAACTGTAAGTTAAGAATACTGTGAGAGTGCCCCCTGCTGTTTATCAGAGTATCGCCGCTCCACAGTTTCAGTTTCAGTTTCAGTTTCCGCTTTAGCCGAGCGCGCTAACGTTATTCCTCCTAATAAACAGACACACGTTCAGCTCTGTCTCCTCATTATTCACCACCATCACTGTAATATTTCATCATCAACGTTAACAAACAAAGGTAATAAGAGGAGATGGCGAGATTAAGTCTGCAGAGTCTGGGCTTTTAAAACACTCCAGCACCATTTTCAGTGTGGATAAAAGGAACATCACTAATGCTAGTTATAGTGAACTGTGCTGTCTGTCACTGCATAAAACAATAAAAACAGACGGTTAAACTGAAGTTAAGACGCCTCTGGGGTTAAAGTGCCTTAAAGTTAGGACAGAATTTAGGAGATTTAGTCTAGTTAGGATGTTTTTTCTAATACTGTTTTCTTATCTGGAGTTAATGAGTTAAAAAGTCTTCTTTAAATAATCAGCCTGGACCACCGATGTCTTTGAAGCTTTTATTCTTGCAGCAAGGGAGCAGTTACACACAGAGTCAAGTCTAGAATGTAATGCTCTCAGTGCTTTGGGTCGTGCCCTGTCTTATACCTTTGGAAATGTACGTTTTACTCTTACTTCAGCTGAACTATTCTTTAACTTCTTGTTTATCTATTTCCCGTTACATCCCTTTTCTTCGAGTTCACCCAAAGGTCAAGTTCTCCTTTCTGTGTACTGTTGTTTTCACTTCTTACTGATAAGAGAGCCCTTCATCTGACCCCAGAGTGTACGCAGTGCACTCTGTCTGAACTCTTCTGCCTGCAGAGTTCTTGACTTAAGCATAACCATATATGGTGATTCAAGCATTAACATAGAGTACAATACTGATTTTTTCTGACAATTATGAACTTAAGAACTGTTATTCTGTTATAGTTTCTGTCCTAAATTCAGTCCTAACTAAAGTTGTCATGGTGACTAAACAGATAAGATTTCAGACTTAAGAAATTTCTGTAATATGGCCCCTGGTTCCTATCACCAGTCCTGTAAATAAGAGAAAGTTTCACTATAAAGCACAAATCAAAAGACATCTCAGTGACTGAATTATGCAGAAAAATCTGTGGAATTTCTCTTTGAATAATAAAAATATAAAATAAAGTTACCATTGTGCTAATCTTTTTGGGTATATTTATCTTCAAAACTCAGCCTCATGTTCATAAAATTGTCTTCTTCGGTATGAAGAGCAGGTTTAAAATGACGATTTGACTCTTTTCTTTTCCAAATTATTGTTAAAGGAAATTATGAATTGAAATTATACTCGTTTGTATTAAACGTGTTTGTAAAGCTTTTGATGTGAAGTGTATATGAAGCAAAGAAGCTAGAATTTCCCACCATTCCTACCATATGTTTCTCTGTGCTTCTGCAGACTGGGGTCAGGTGTGCGTTCTCACCTGGAAGATGTAATCTCCTGGCTTGACATCGGTCACGTCGACCCACTGGCAGTCAATGTCGTGGCGGTAGGTATCCCAGCAGCCTACAGAAATGCCCTGATCCCCCATGTTATAACAGGCATAACGCTTCGACAGGCCTGTAGCCAAGGAAACAAGAACGTGTTTGGTGTTTCTTGTGACCACATCATATGGCTCTGGCGTAACCTCAAGTCATTTTCCTTTAATTTCTTTAACTGTAAAAGCCCAGAGCTAATGAATTTTCCTCACGCGCGGTTAGTTTCAGTTCACGTTTTTAAACTCGCTGAACTTCACATATCAAGTATTTAAATTAAAGGCTGGCAGTTACTGGAGTTTCAGAAAGAACCAGAATTTACTTACAAAGCAAAGCCTGTACAAATCAGAGCACAAAGCACAAACATTTTAATGGAAAATAACACATACAGAACTGTACCAAAGTCAGAGACCACCCTTCATTTCATTAAATGCAAGTTATATATAAAAGTACACAGAAGCCTCAACAACTAAATATATAATTTTTTCAGTGGTCAGTGAGTCACTCTTTACCTTTATTACAGCTTCCATTCTTTTCAGGAGTCTCACTTTCAGTTTCTCAAAGAAATTAGACGCTGGTTGATCATTTTCTGACGTAACCAAACCCATTCAGTGATGTTGAGCTCTGGACTCTGGGGTGGTCAGTCCATTGTTCAGCTTCTTTGTTTGGTGTGTCCGTCTCCTTTTCTCAGTGAGGTTCTTCTTGAGCAACTACACATCCTTTCAGACCCACAGCGTCTTCTCACAGTGGAAGGATGGACAGAAACACCTGTGGATGTTTTCAGATCTGAAGCAGCTTGATTTTCTCCTCTCTCTCAAAGATGAAAGCTTTAAGTGCTGTTTATCTGATGGGGGCAGTTTTGGTGTCTACCAGCTCTTCCAGGTGGTTGTTAGGAGTCTCTGTAGCTTTTAATCACTATTTGAACGTCTTTTTTGTAAACTTTCGTTTTTTTCCTTTTGGCTTTCTCCTTCCTTATGCAAGTGGATTATCTTATATCTAATCTCCTCAGAAATATCTTCTTTAGTCCTTGTAGATGCACGTGAGAAAGAAATTTGCGACGCAGCTGAGGGTGAGTTTGGAAGGATGGAAAAGTTAAAGTGGCAATAGGTGCACAATAGTAAAGAGTGGACAAATTAAATACTGGTAGATTTGGTATTATTTTTAGTCGTTGAGGCTTTTATTTAATTTTCTGTTAAATATATGTTTCCTGCTTTTTCCTGATGCTAAAATATGCGGTATGTATTGGCCGTTGTGACTGAAAATTAAATAAATGAAAGGATGGTCTCTCTTTTTCCACAGTACTGTATACTATATAGACGAAAAAGCCTTCATCTAAAATCCTATAGGGTTTTTGACTTTAAACTCACCCTCAGGGCAGTAGGTGTCCTCCAGACAGAAGCTGGCTTTGTGACCCTCTGCGACCTTCGTTCCGTTCATGGTCAGGAGGTCGTAGTGCGTGAACACCTCAATGCTGTGGTAGTGTCTGCTCAGAAGAAGAGAAGCACAAAGAGATTTGCAGACCTCTGGTATCTGCTATTTCTGACAATGACCATTGTTCTATTACTTGTGTTTGGATTTTGAAATGGTCACTCTGCTGAAGTGGTCACTGCTGGTTTCCTTGCTTCCTGTATCTGCCCACATCAGCTTAAAAGCCCTGATGTTTGCCTAAGAAGCCAAAAAATGGACCAGCCCCCCTCAATACTTTAAGACAAAGGTCAAATCCTCACTTACTGAAATTTCGTGTAATTGCAACTTCAATTCAGATATCTTGCAATCTCAGTGTGCTGGTTATCACTGTAGGTATCATCACTGTCTCCTGTATTAGAGGTATGGAATCAGGTGTATTGGACTAGCTTAAAGGGCCACTTTGGCCACAATTAGAAATGTAACCATTACTATATCTGTTGTAAAAATGCCTACTTTCCTCCTACACTGTTAGAAATAAAGGTTCTGTGCATTTACATTTTTCGTGCATCAAGGTAAGTGTTCCCTCAAAGGTACAACAGTGGTTTTAAGGTCCAATTGTGAACCTTAAATAAGTTTTGCCAGTTGAAAAGTTCATATTTGTACCTTTTCATAACCGAATGTTTTAAAACAGAACAGTAAAATAAAAGCCTGGAGACGAGACGGGGTGTGTGGAGTCAGTACAGCTTAGAAAATATCATTTCAGTGGATTATGGTTCAGTTATGTTCCCTGACTAAAGGTACTGAGATGTACCCTTGAGGGTCCCACCCCAGTGACACTTTCATACCTTTTTTTATGAGAGTGTACAGTGGTGCCACAGGAGGCTCTGGGGTAAGAGTTTCTGGTTTAAAGACGAGAAAAACCCAATTCTGATGAAGTATTTTGGTCAGAGGAATTACAAGGTCTTTGGGGAGAATACATGAGGGTCGGCTGATGAAATGTTTTTTCCGTTAGCTGGCGTATGCAGAAGAAAGCCAGATAAACAACGTTAGGAATTTGATAGCCTTTACAGCAATCATTGTGCTACCAGTCAGGATTTCTTTATTTGCCATGAGGGGTTTCCAGTGGTCGTTTGCGTAATGCGTGGTGGGGTTGGTCAGTGAGAGAACGCTGATGGACAAAGAAGCACAAAAGGATTCAAAATTGTGAATTCTGTCAAACGGCTGGACGTAATTCTCTACTGCAGAATACTACACAAAGCACAAACGTAAATGAATCAAATAACTATTTATTTCTCGTGTTTCTAAGATGAAAACAGAAAAACTTTAATGTATACAGATCCTATATAAACGTGTAGGAGGTACGACAGTCCCCTAAATGATTGGTGGTCATATGTTCATAGTGTTGCTGTTTGTTCTGATTTTGTACTACACTAGATCTAGATCTCCCTTTCATTAAAAAGATGGTTCTTCCAGGGCTCTTTAGTAAAGAAAATGGTTCTATAAAGAACCATGAACACTTAAAGAACCCAGTTTGATTAAAAGGTTCTTTGCATCATTACATGGTTCTTCAGACTGATGGAGAATGTGCTATACATGGTTCTATAGGTTCTATATAGTTCTACATAGCACCCAAAAGGGTTCTTCTATTGTTACAATGTCAAGCTTGTATACAACAGAAGAACACTTTTGGGTGCTATATAGAACTTTTTTCAAAAAGATTCTATATGGAACCATCTACACCACATTTTCCATCAGTTTGAAGAACCTTTTAATGATGCAAAGAAGCTTTCAATCATGCAAAGGGTTCTTTGAGTATTCATGGTTCTTTATAGAACCATTTTTTTTTACTAAAGAACCCTTGAAGAACCATGTTTTTTTAAGAGTGTATGAAAGGGACATCTAGAAATGAACAAAGATGGAGGGTCAGAACAAAGAAACTAAAAAAGCCTGAGCCAACAACTGCCTTTAAAGCAGAGGCGTTTAAAGACCTGCCTCTGTTACTCAGCCCTGTTATATCACTGTTATTTAACAGAGAGAAAAGGGAGAAAACTGTGCAGACCTTTTTGTCTCCTTTTCTGCAGTGGCAGGGAAAAGGACTAGGTTGTCCTTCCAGCTGACCACAGTATCCTGACCACTGCTATTAAGAAACCGGACCGTGTTGGATCAGAGTCATAAAAAACCAACCCATCTGAATGAGGCCTTATGGTGCTGACTCGGTCAGAACCGCCAGGGGGGCGTTCCCAGGGGGTCACTTGTGATTTTTTTTTTTCTCTCTTTGTTTTTATGTTGTTTATGTATGCCTGTGTGTGGACAATGTTATTTAAATGAGGAAGCAAAAACAACGAGAAACAGAAAGTGGTGGTTAGTGCCAAGGTAGAACTGATTCTACTGCAGGGAGACTGAATATTGTACCCACTGACGTCAGATCAGCTATGGACAAATAATATGAACAAAGAGTGTATGTTATGAAGACAAAACAGGAAATAAGCTTTAAACCAAAAGGGCAAATCTCTATAAAAGACCATTCTCAACTAAAATTATCATGGAGAACCATTTACAAACACATTCCCTATAGAAAACCATTTAAAACAGCTTCCCCATATAAAACCATCTTCAAATAAAATCCCCATTAAAGACAATTTACAACAAAAAGCTTTAGAATACATTCATAAACAAAACCTCCACAGAAAACCATCTACATCTAAAATTCCAATAGAAAACCGTACACAACCAAAATGCCCATAGAAAACTATAGGCAGCCGAAATCCCTACAGAAATCCGTTTACAACCAAAAACCGCATGGAAAAAAACATTCACAACCGAAAACCCCATAGAAAACAATCATAACTGAAAACCCCATAGAAAAAAAATAAAATAAAAATTTGCAACCAAAAAACACCAGAGAAAATCATTTATAGCCCAAATCCAATAGAAAACTATTCACAGTCAAAACCCATAGAAAACCATTTGGAACCAAAAATCCCTATAGAAATCCATTTACAACCAACAACACCATAGAAAACCATTCACAACCAGAAACCTCATAGAAAATTGTTCACAACCAAAATAAATAAATAAATAAATAGAAAACAATTTACAGCCAAAAACCCACAGAAAACCATTTACAACCAAAACCCAAAAGAAAATCATGCACAAAGACAACCCCATAGAAAACCATTTGGAACCAAAAACTCCATAGTAAAGTGTTTAGAAGCAAAGATTCCATAGAAAATGGAATGCAGCCAAAATCCCTATAGAAATCCATTTACACCCAAATACCCAGTAGAAAACCATTCACAACCAAGAATCTCATAGAAATGTGTTCATAACAAAAAAAACAAAAACAAAACAACAAAAAAACATAGAAAACAATTAAAATAAAAAGCCCACAAAAAACCATGTACAACCAAAAACCCCATAGAAATCCTTTCACAACTAAAATCACCTGTTTTGTGGTGACAGATGGCCAAAAGTCTAAGACTGCAGACTCACACATTTCACCCTCTTTTACCAACACAATGAAGTTGACATATGGGCATTATAAGACTAAAATGCTATTAGTATGACGATACATGATTACTGATAACTTTGTTTAATTATGTAACACAAACACACATAACAGGTCTGCAGTCCAGCAATATTCATATGCTGAATTTCTGCTACAATGACCTATCAATGCTCCTCCCACAGATGTGGTCTTTCATGGCAGCATGTTGGCAAAAATCTCATTAAACCCAACGAGAAATTAGAGTGATTTTTATTTAAAGTCTCTACATTAAATATCCCTTTTAAAGTGCTACAGTACGGAGCTGATGCACCACAGGTGATCTGGCTGTGTTCTCTTACCTGTGGCACTGGTGCCAGACCCAGGATTCCCGGGACGCTCTCGGGCGGAAGTCGGCACGGCCCAGGTTCATGATTCTGGAGGAGAAGCGCAGCAGGCGGCGGCTGCCATAGGGCCAGTGCATGCGATAGGCAGAGGATGACAGGCAGTTCTCCTCATGGGCGCAGGTGAGCAGGTGCAGCGGACGGTCCTCCAGGTATGCTGTCTCCTGGACCAGTTGAGCATCCAGCACCAGGTCCGGTGCCGCTGAACACCAGTCACAAAAATAAATAATCATTTCAATACTGGTGGATCAAAGCTGAATGGTTGTGTCTGATTGCAATTCTTATTTATAACACTCACTGTCCACACAGGTGACACCGGCGGCCTTTGATCCACCCCCACGAGGACAGTACACCTGTCCGTTGCTCCGGCACTGCTGGATGGACATTTCCGTCCCAATACAGTGAGTTCCACTTAGTATAATCTCCGCAGAGTCTGGGTTCCCTGGCCAGTACCACGTCTCCTGATTAGCAGAACACAGACAACACATACGAATAAAAACTTGTATTTAAGCTATGTTACTGTAATAAGGTGATGAAGGATAGACATGGAAGGAATGTGGATGGAATATCCGTGAGGAAAAATCAGCGACAGAAGTTGATAAGACCACAGAGACCGCCGACGCTCATATCCAGTACGTTCATGGTTAACTTGGCTAGTTAGCTGTCTGACATATCAGAGCTATACTGCAGTATTTATCAGTCATATCTGGTATTGCTGTATTTAACTTTACAGCTAATTCCCATCACCACACAGTGATATTAGTAATCTGCTCAAATAACTGGGAATGTTTTTGCTGCATAGAATTTAAAGGGTTGAATGGCTCTGTCCTCTTTGAGTGTCCTCTGGAAACATGTCTGTTGTGTTGTGGCTCATTTCCACTGTGTTGTGACTGGCTTTGCAGCGTTTCTGAAGCTGCATGTGTTGTCTTTGTAGTTCAGCTGTAGTTGATTAAAGTGTTTTCTAAGTTTCCACGAATTTGCAGTGTGTTTTATTCATTTGCAGAGCGTTTGTAAAATGCAGTGCATATGTTCTCATTTTAATGAAAGTGTTTTCTGTGTTTGCAGCTCATTTTCTATTTTGCAGTGCGTTGGCCTCCATATTCACAGCAGTGGATCTGCATTCTCTGGAGTGATGGAGATCCAGAACTGACCATCCAACATCAGTACCTGACCTCACCAATGCTCAATCAAATCCTCACAGCAATGTTCAACATCTAGTGTAAAGCTTTGTCTGAAAAGTAGAGGCTGTTACTGCAGCAAATCTCGGGTCATTTTCATAGGAAATGTCATATATACACTATATTTATCCATTAAGCCCTTAAACTAGTATTATTAGTGATTAGAACTACTTTAAGGTGCTGAGACGGCCGTTCACACACTCTAATATAATCTCCATGGAAAAGCACTGACCAGTAGAATGGGACAGTCTGGAGCAGGCTAAGGTCACAATGCTCAATGCCCACATGGGCTAAAGGGGTATAACCCCCCAGCACTGGGCTATGGAGCAGTGGAACTGTGTTCTCTGGAGTGATGGAGCTCCATCCAGTACCTGTGGGATGAGTTGGAGTGACTCAGAACTGACCATCTAACATCAGCACCTGACCTCACTAACGCAATCAAATCCTCACAGCAATGTTCAACATCTAGTGTGAAGCCTTCCCAGAAGAGTAGAGGCTGTTAGTGCAGCAAAGGAGGACAAGCTCCTGTTTAATGCCAGAAGAAACACTGGATAAGCAGGTGTCTAAACATTTTTGGACATAAGGCAAGCTTTTAAGTTTAGTCCTCGAGGACCCCTGAGCACATTTTATTAACCCCTTAAGTTTCTTTTTATCTGCTAAGGCTGGCTTTACATAGTAAAACCTTTACACAACTTTAATTGCTTGAAACTTACTAAAACTCAACAGCTGCGGTTGTGAAACAATTTTAATGAAACAGCCAATCAAAATGCTGATAACGTACCAATATTCATGTCCAATGATACTATTTCAACCGACTGATTTCAATTAACACATCACGGATAAGAAAAAAAGGAATAAAGAGAGGATGGAATCATGTTTCCAGTTGGAATAATGTTGCTAATTTGCTGTAGGTAGCTTAAGTAGCTAGTTAATGCTAACATTCCAGGTGTTGCATTTCTGCTGTGTTAACCTCCTCTATCGTGGTCAGTGTATCTAGGTTATGAATTTCCTCTTCTCTTGACATAAAATGATACAAGGATGCAAGTGTAAGCTAAATAACACATGACTTGTAGTTAGTTTAACCCTTAGTAACCTAATTTGGGGAATTTTTTGGTATTTTTGGGTCAATTACAATTGCAGTTATAAAGTATTTACATGAGACAGTCATACAAGCCATATGTTGTTATTTTCAGGAGACCCTGGGCTGCTCAGATATGCCATTGTTTGACATGTAAATGCTAACAGAAATGTGATATCTTTATGAATTTGGGTCATTTCTGATCAAAAATTTACCTAGTGCCTGCAAAATTTTGTGATTTTTGTAATTATAGAGATCTTGAAAACAAGTGCAGTTGTAGTTATCTTTTCAGAAATTGTTAGTCTGGAGTGTCTGTGAACTGAAAGTTCATTCTATTGGTTATTATGAGTAAAAATAAACAATTAGCATAAGGCGGACATGGTTTTTTATTGGTTTTCTGTCCTCTTGGATTCATGCTCAGTGCTAAAACTCTGATACACAGCTAGACAGCTTTTATTTTTAATTACAAATTGAGCTGCATATTCAATATCAGGTATTTTTAATACTCAAAATCAATGTAAACTGAAAGCCCTTTGTTTATAATATGAAGGCTAAAAGCAGACACGTAGTATAACACTAGTGAGTGGGGTTTGGGTGATTTTGGAGCTGGATTGCTGGCTGATGGACGGTCACAGGTGGATGAAATCTCACTCTCTGATTGTGTGATATGATGTGTGAATCATGTTGCTGTTTTAACCCTTTGCTGGAATATGAAAGCCAAACTGCAGAGCAATAATATTAGGATTTTAGGTGATTTTCCGAGCCGAATTACTCACTGATGCTGACGTCAAAACTCGACGTTGTCTTGCTAGTTAGGGGCGGGTCTGCTGAATGTCCTGATATGTGGATCATGTTTGTATCTTAAATCATTCTGAAGTTATGAAGGCTAGAAGTGACCTACCATTTTGCCCGCAAATTCCGGTCTCTGGTTAAGTAGCTAGTTAATGCTAACATGCCAGCCGTTGCATTTCTGCCTTGTTAGCCTCCTCTATTGTGGTCAGTGTATCTAGGTTATGAATTTCCTCTTCTCTTGACATAAAATGATACAAGGATGCAAGAGTAGGCTAAATAACACAGGACAGATGATTTTATATAGCCGGAATGATATGGGACATGAAATATATTAACTAATATCTTGCTGACTAGTGGAATAATCAAATTAGTTGCATGCAACTTGGATTATTTTGAATGTTGCGTGCAATTTGCAACCTGCAGCTAGCTGAATGAAAATTTTACATTGTAAAGTCAGCTTAAGGCTTATTATACAGTTACTACAATGCAGCATGACTAAGTTATTATTGGGTTGCAAGAGTAAGGAATGGAAGTTTGAAGGTTGTGAAGCACCTTTCTCAGACGCAATGTACACAATAACAACAACAACTGCACAGTTGCCCTGCAGCAAAGACATTTAAAATGTTCCAGATCCAAAGACGCCTGAGCCGGATAATCAGGGGTTATGGAAGGACAATTACCTGGATCAGATGTGTTAGGAACTGCACACAACAAAAAATGAGGCCTGGCTGAGGGTCCCTGAGGATTTAAAAGCTCCTGCCCCAAAAGAACAGAACTACAGACCTACATGAACTGGAGCTTGTTTCTGGAATTTATAGAACAGCATCTTGTCTAATGGAGGGCTACGATTAGCAGCATTCAATGGATATTATCACGTTTTTCCACTTTCCTCTTTTAGGCTATTATAAATCCCAAGAATGCTAACGGTGTCCACGTCCAATGCAAACAACAAAGAGCTATTTAGAGTTTGTTTTCTTCCCGTGTTTGCTGCTGTTCTCCCTCTGTTCCCTGAAAGTGTGGCGACTTTTCATGGGAAGCCTGCAATTACCTTCTGCATGGGAAATAACGGAGTGCTGAAAAACAAATGCACGAAGGACATAAACAAAGTTAGCGCACACTGCTGCACTAGGCCGAGAGGAAATGTTACAAATCAAACTAAATAAATGAATTCCAGTCAGAGGAAACAACTAACAACTCTCACAGAGAGATTTAGCAGGGATTCATAGACTGCCTTGAGTGGACGTAATCTTCATTAAAAACTGGACAGAATAATCAACTAATCCGTATATCAAAATCTCAGAAGACACAGGAAATCAAAAAAGGACATATATCTAAGTAATTTTGGGCCAATTGGTCAATTGATCATTCTGATACAATTTAAAGGGCATGGAGTTTTCAAAGTATGCAAAACAAATGATACACACACACACACACACACACACACCTGTATGTATATCACTTGTTTTGCTACCAAACAGTCGAGATGGCACTTTGTGGCATATAGTGACTCAAAATGTGCTCTACCGAATGGTTGAGCAGAACATTAAAGTATTACCATCAGAAATGTTTTATTTTCTGTGTATTGTTATATGATTTCTTTTTCCCTTCTTTCGACTCCTCATTTGTCAAGTTCAAATTCAATGGACTATTCGTCATAACCACAGCCTGAGAATCTAGTCATTAGGTTTTTAACCACCCTTATAGAACATACTGCGTGTGATAGGGCCCTGGTCTACACCTGTAATATTTTGGGATGGCCAATTAGTGGAAGCAGTTTGTTCTGGGCAGAATTTACTGAAGGTCAGTATCTTATGCAACTCTTCCTGTGGAGAGACAGAGTTGCTGGCCTTAACCCTTGTGTGGTGTTGGGGTCTGTGGGACCCATTTTCAATATTTACCAAAATAAAATTATGCAATTTTTTATTATTTCAGCCTCAGATTCTTGGTCTTTGCTTATTTTCTGTGACGAACATATAAAATAACCCATTTTCAGTGCCTTCACTCTGTTCACCCCCCACACATCTATATTACACATGTGGTGTTGGGCTGAACTCGCGGGGGATAAAACTGTGGAGGTGCTGTGTCCTTCCCTCTGTTCTCCTCGTACATGACCTGCTGTTAGTGTGTGTGTGTCTGAATGTGTATGTGTTTGTATATGTGTGTGTGTGTGTGAGGGTGGACAACATGGACAGGCTGCTGACTGGCTACAGCTGCTAAAGGAGAACCCTACACTGGCCACTTGTGATATTTTAAACATCTGGTATTACATAAATTGTTATGGCTGTATTGATTTAAATAAAACCACTGATTTAAATCAGACCACTGAGTAAAAACAACATTAACACCACACAAGGGTTAACTGTTGTAGTATGAATGCTCTTTGTGGTCCGTACCTGGTGGGCTCTGGAGGCAAAACCAAAGCCCAGCTGTCTGCACACCACCATGGCTTCATTAATTCCCCAGTTCTCACTGCACACGGCCCCCCAGCGCTGAACTCCGCCCACCTCCATTAAGACCTCCACCTTGCCCTCCGTAGCCTCCCGCCCACCTGCAAGCCGCACCTGAGAGAGAGAGAGAGAGAGAGAGAGAGAGAGGATATTGAGCAGATATTGTACGAGTGTGTGTGTGTGTATTTAATGAGCCCATATCCTAAATTATATTATATTTTATTTCTCCCGTTACATACTACTTCAACTCCTTTATTAAAAAAACGAGGGGAATTTTGTTTTTTCTTTATAAGGGCTATTTAATGAATGCCATTATTAATTGGTACAGTGGTTAAAGGGGTTACAGCAGCCAAATCAAACATCTACTTTGTGCAGCCTTGGTTTAAGTGTATTTTCTTGGGCCAAGCTTTCACCCTATCATTGGGAGATTGCAAGTTAGAAAAGATGTGGCGGCGCTTCACACGTCTTATAGAAAACAGGCGCTGAGCTTCACCATCCCAGCTTGGTAGCATCTTGTGACAAGGGGAACCAAGCTAGTGAGTGGTATTGTGTATGTCTAAACTGGGGAGAAAAGTGGGTAAAAAAAATCCCTGAAATGTTTAACTATGGGTGTCTCAACACAATCCCCAATGAAATCTTCAATGCCTGAATATTAGTATCTACAGAAGTAGCTTGAAATATACATATTGCTGCTGTCAGGAGAAAACCTTGTATCTCCATTTTTGTCGTTTTTCAGTTTTTGACATAATTTGAAAATGCCTGTTGCTCTTTGCATTGTGTGTAAGTTTCATGATGAGTGGACTAAAAGAAACGGCCCAAATTACTCTGAAAAAATTCTGGTTCCATTGACTTACATTAAAAGTAAAGTATGTTTTTTCCTTCTCCTGTAAAGTTACCATTTTGGAGATACGAGGTTTTCTTCAGTGATATCTAACATATTGCTTTTGTGTGCATGTGTGTATGTCTCACTTTGGCTCCTAGGCCAGTTTTGGGGACGTTGCAGCGTACAGAAACATCCTGAGTGTGCTTGCAGGTCCTGAGAGGAACCTGCTGATACTGGCACTTTGTGATGGACTTCTCCTGGCCTGTACATTGCACTGAGTTCATATGGATCGGACCGGTACCTGCAAAACACAAACACACATAAAAGATGCACACACACATGAGAATATGGCCACACGTACACGACTACAATTATACACAACTACATGATCAATGGGTGAGGATGTCATTTGTAGACACTGTCTCAGTTGGTTACTCACAGTGGAGAAACCTTAGAGTCTGCTATTGATTTCTGGGAATACAAGACTGTCATTTAATTTTTATTTAACAAAATCATAACGCTTTTTGAATATATACTCTGTGAGTACTGTGGTTATACTCTTATTTCATTGTTAAGTTCTGGTTGGAAGTTAAAGGGATATATCTTGAAATACCCAATGGCAAATTGTCTAATCTGGTGTGTTTTATCTGTGTTATCTAGGTAGATACTGCCAAGCCAGCTCTCCCATTGGTTAGGACTTCAGGAGCTGGAAAGAAGGCCTTCCATGTTAGGTTAACTACCAACACAATTAGAAAGGGGAATCAACCAGTCATGCTTTGATTTACAATGAGTAGGAACTAGTTTTGAGAGGAAAACATTACTTTAAGCCTTCTGGAAGTTCTAGATAACTGACTGAGCCATTTTCAGTTAGTTGTTAGGAATGGAAAACAGCGACGGAGGCTCTACGCCAGGACTCTTTCATGAAAGAATCACTGTAAACCTGATACAAACAAGCTCAAGTACATGTTAATGTCTTTTACAAGCTTCAAATGTCTGTATTTAATCTAAAATGAACTAAACATGTTTCCGTGCCATCACACCAATGTTAGCTTAGCACTTATAATATTAGAAATGCCATAGGGGCGCTTGCAGACATTAGCATAATTGCAATTTTTAATATAAGATACGTTTTAAATATATTGTTTCATCCAGTAATGCATTCCAAACACCATAAATGTACATTGAGCAAAAATAACATTTATACAAATGTATTTTTGTACATTTTCAAATGCATTTTGTAAATACACTTTACATATTGTTGCTGTCCAAACTCTTTTTGAATTTATTTTTATTTTTCTACATCATTTGAGCACAGCAGCTACCTTTTACACTGCGTAAACATGAATGAACTAATATATATATATATATATATATATATATATATATATATTATAATAATTTTTAGTGGTTGGGATACATTTTGGAATGAAATAATGTACTTGAAATGCATCTCACATTTAAAAATACATGCACATTTCAGCTGTATGGGTATCTTACATTGAAAGTAATGAATGTTTGTGCTTCCTCAGGAAAAGTTTTGATGTTTATGTTCCAAACTGAAGGCCTAGCCCTAATAGTCAATGGTCCGACACTGGTTGCACGTTAGTATTGTGTTACATCAACACAACTGCAGACTGCAGGCTTACTTCTGTTGGCGAGAACTGATACAGGCTATTTTACTAGTGTGGACACGTTTGATTCATGCCAGTTCAAAGCAGTGTTTTCTTCAGTGTGTCATTTGAAAAAGAGAGAGAGTGAGAGAGAAAGCAGGCCTCTGTTTGTGTGCGTATTCCGCATGATCACGTGTAGCGTCTAATGACATGGAACCGCATTCCCCAGACTCAGACAAGTGCCCAGTTAAGGCCCCTTTCCTCGCTGGGCATTAGGCCCCTCTTTAACAGCTAGAAATAGCCATTAGCGCGTTGTGCTTGGCCCGGCCGGCTGCTGGCCAGCTCACAAGAGAAACAGATCAAAAACCAGGAGTGGTAAGCGAAGCAGCTGTGATGTGGACATGGAGGAAACGTTTGTGTGCATTCAGCCTGACGAAATTACACACCAAAACCCAGGGCATCGTTTAATACATCAAAATAGAAACACCGGGCAGGGCAGCGAGACGGGAAACAGTGTATGTGAAGAAAGGAATCCCTGTAATTTAGTGCACAATTAGGTCATCGAGATGAGCCAGCCGTAAACGTGGGCCTTTTTTTTCTACTCATGACTCTCTTTTACACGACTTTGCCATCTGTTTCCATTGCATGAATGCAGGGTATTCTTAGCCTGTCATTTAAACACATATAATCCGCCGTCTTCCAAACGGCAGCACAGTGATGCAGGTACACACATACAAAAGTAGCATATGCCCAGTGTGGCACATACAGCACAAAAGCAGAGAAGAGGAAGTTCAACAGCAGCTGGCCAAAAAAAAAACTCTCAATATGACACATTCCAGCAGTTTCTCTCCCAGCGTGCAGCGTGCACAATTAACCGCCACGAAATCCCTGAAATTAGCCGAATACAAAAGTTTAAGTAAAAAGAATTTACATCAAATGGACCCTTTCAGATAAAATGGTGCTTGTAAAGTTATGCCAAAAAAGAAATAAAGAAAAGGCTAAATGTATATGCGTGTGGGGACGTGGCATTTTTTCATTTATTTATTTTTTTTTAAGGGTTTGACTTTGATCCTAATTGGACTTCCAGTTCAGCGCAGAGAACAGGAAACATCACGTCACCCAGAAACAACTGCAGGATGCCATGCATTTCATTACTGCCCACAGAAATACACGCAGCGAGCTTTGTAACAGCAATAGCACTTTAGATCTCTCAGTTTTGGGCCCAAAATAATGGGTAGATTTCGGGTCATTCATAGTAAATGTAATATGTACACTATACCTATCTAGACAGCCCTTCTAACTAGTTCTATTAGTAATTAGAATTACTTTAAGGTGCTGAGACAGGTGTTTAAGTGCACACACACAGCTTATATAATCTCCATGGAAAAGCACTGACCAGTGGAATGGGACACTCTGGAGCAGGCTAAGGTTGCAATGCTCAATGCCAAGCGTGGGCTAGAGGGCTATAAACCCCGCAGCATTGGGCTGTGGAGCAGTGGAACTGCGTTCTCTGGAGTGATGGAGCTTCATCCAGTACCTCTGGGTTGAGTTGGAGTGATCCAGAACTGATCATCTAACATCAGTACCTGACCTCACTAATGCTCAATCAAATCCTCACAGCAATGTGTAAAGCCTTCCCAGAAGAGTAGAGGCTGTTACTGTATTGAATACAGTCAATACATTTTTGGCCTAAAATGTATTTTTTACCAAACTCCATCCATGATGCTGAGATACATGTAGGATGTTAGAAGGCAAAATAGTCCCTAAACAATTTTTTCTATTACTTCAGCATCATCAACATTCCATATAAAACTCAGAAGACACGTGTTGGTTCACTGGTGGTTTTGGGTAGTAAATAAAATGGCTATATTTGTGTTGTGGTCATGGCGACTCCTGGTTCCTATCACCACCACTGTAAAGAAATCTGACCCATTTCACACCAAACCACTCTGAATGACTCTGATTACATCTCAACCACTGAATTACGCAAACATTTTGAAAAACTGGTGGAATTCCTCTATTAACACCCTTGATTTCAGAAGAAATGCTGGCTAAGCATGTGTCTATACCCTTTTAGACATACAGTGTAGCATAATATGCAGCTCTTTTTCCATATAAAATCTAACAGAAAACATAGTATGTTGCCTTTAGATTTCAGAATCTATGATAACATATTGCAACACGTTCCACAGTGTACTGCATATTGATCATGCATGATCTACTAAAGACTACCGAGTCTGGGGTAACGTCATTTTGACAGTTCATTGTGTATGAATTGTAGATGCATGTCTATTTTTGAAGTGAACTAAGCAGCTATTTACAACACCTTAAAGGGGAATTCCATCACAAAATGTATGTTCAATTCAATCTTAAAGATGTAAACAAAGTAATTCAGAGTGGTTTGGTGTGCTGCGTTCCAGAGAAACTTACAGAGGCCGAATTGTTCACAGTGGTGGGGATGGGAACCAGACATCCACCCTTAAAAAGCTCCCTCACAGAAAGTTTTTAAATGAAATGGTTATGAATATGTTGCTTGGTGCCAGAGACATTGTTTTATGATATTTCTCATTTGAATTTTCCATTCTGCCTTAAATGGTGCAGCAGTTACATTTCGACGTCTGACTGCTGCACCATTTAAGGTGGAACGGCATTTTTCAATATGAAGCTGGCGGTTAAAAAGTCAAATTCAGCTTCGTGGTGAACGCTGCGCTTGTTCTACCTGCAGAAGCTGTTAAATTTGGTCAAATAGAGCTGTGTTTCTTCTGTCCTGCTACCATGAGGAAAGTGGTCAGTTCACCTGGTGAGTTTCTGCAGTAAGACTGGAGTTTAAGCGCTGAGTGAAGGAGCACTGATGCTGTTGATGTTTTGCTTATTTCCAGCTTATGGAGGTGAACTTGAGCTCTAACGCTTCACTTGTCTTCCAAAATAAAATACGTCGAGAATGAGCACAGGGACAGACATCTGATAACGTTGCAGTTTATTCAATTTACGGCAGGAAACAAATTCATTCACATGAAAAATAATCTTTCTTCCACTTTGAGTGTCCAGTCTTTCAGGGTCATGACGCTCAAGTCCGAGTCAAGAGTCTGAGTTACTGGTGTTGAAGTTAAAGCTGAGTCCCAAGTCTTTCTCAATTTTCTCGAGTCGAGTCTAAAGTCATCAAATCCGTGACTCGAGTCGGACTTGAGTCCAAGTCATATGACTCGAGTCCGCTCCTCTGGATTTAACACTATTTTACCATCACCAATGTTACATATAAAACTCAAAACATGCATGTAGGCTCACTGCTGGTTTTGGATAGTAAATAAAATGGCTATGTGTATTGTAGTCATGGCGACCCCTGGTTCCTATCACCACCACGCTAAAGAAATCTGAGTCAGCAAATTTCTGCACAGTGAACCATTTTAATGACAAACCTCTCTAAATGACTAAATGAAAAACTGAATTATGCAGAATTGTTAAAAAAATTGGTAGATTTAGTTAATAATATGAGCTTTGCTGCAAATAAAGTGGGACTAAGTTTGGCTGATTTGCCCCTTTGAGACTCAACTCAAAGCAATCCACTGATCTACTGAGTACAGTAAGTAAAGGGTAAAGTAAGAAAGCAGAATTGAGATACAGGTCAAATTCACACAATCCACAATGGTCAACTGGAGCATTGTTCAGCATCAGCATAGTCCAAGCCTGTGTGGTCATGGGTAATGTCCTCTGGAACAGTAGAAGCCATGTGATAAACAACCTCAGCCACTCAGCTGCCTTCGACTGGCTTTTGAACAGTCACTTAGTTGGCCTGCTTTGTCTATTTGCCCAAGTCAGTGTTGTTGTGTGCAAAAGTGCTGTTTAGGCTGGTCTACAATGCCCTTACTGAACCCTGAACATTTGCTCTGTCATTTTGTGGTTGAATAAGAAGCTGCAGGGCTGCCCACTTGCTGCAGGATGTGGTAATGGACCATGCTGTATCACTTCATTACATCTGCATGATCAGTTTGTTCCCCACACAGCACTGATGAAGTATCTGGGTAATTCTGACTTTGGATCAAAGACAAAAAGAAAGCGAAAAGTAAACGCGGTTCTGAAAATACCGCAATAGTTACAGTGCAGTGCAAAAGTTAGAGACCGCTCTTTATTATTTAATTTTCATTAAAGTTAACGTTAAGTACTCAATGGCTGTTTGTTGAGTCAGAGAGTAAGTTGAGTACGTTTTTTATTTTTCAGTATCAGGATATTAAAATAATATAACATGAACATTTATCAGTGTTTAATGTGTCTATCTTTACATTCATTACAGCTTCCAGACTTTTTGGGAGACTCGCTTTCAGTTTTTCAAAGAAATCTGCAGGGATATTTTTCCACATCTCCAAAGTTCAGTCTTAGAAGTTGGTTGCTTCTCATGATCCAAGTAATCCCAATTAAAGACTCCATAAAATCTGACTTCACACCCAGTGTTTTTGTGAAATTGTTCTTCTTTTTGTCTTTTCTCAGTGAGGTTCTTCTTGTCAGCTACACATCCTTCTTCTCACAGTGGAAGGATGGACAGAAACACCTGTGGATGTTTTCAGATCTGAAGCAGCTTGATTTTCTCCTCTCTCTCAAAGATGAAAGCTTTAAGTGCTGTTTATCTGATGAGGACAGTTCTGGTGTCTACCAGGTCTTCCAGGTGGTTGTTAGGAGTCCATAGAATAGAATAGAATAGAATAGAATAGAATAGACACTTCAAAAAGATAGTTCTTTAAGGGTTCTTTAGTAAAGAAAATGGTTCTGCAGAGAACCATCAACACTCAAAGAACCCTTTGCATGATTAAAGGGTTCTTTGCATCATGAAAAGTTCTTCAGATTGATGGAGACTTTATTTTATATGGTTCTATATAGAACCTTTTTAAAAAGGGTTCTATATAGCACCAAAAAGGGTTCTTCTATTGCTACAGGCTTGACATCATAACAATCAAAGAACCCTTTTTGGTGTGATATAGAACCCTTTTCAAAAAGGTTCTATATAAAACCATATACAGCACATTCAATTCATCATTCTGAAGAACTATTTAATGATGCAAAGAACCCTTTAATCATGCAAGGGGTTCTTTAAGTGTTCATAGTTCTATGTAAAACCATTTTCTTTACTAAGGAACCTTTAAAGAATGTTCATTTTTAAAAGTGTAGAATAGAATAGAATGGAAAAGAATAGAATAGGGGTCAGTGGTCCCTATTCCAAATTCATCTGGTCATAGATGATGAAGGACAGTAATACAGTGAAATGAAGGAATAACGGTGTCCTACCTTGGCCCATGAGTGCACCTCTGAGGGCTTCTTTGGCTGTGCCGAAGCCCAGCTCCCTGCACACCACGCTGGCTGCTGTTAAATCCCAGAGATGATCGCACACGGTCCCCCACTTCCCCTCCCTCAGCACCTCCACTCGGCCCTCTCCGAGCCTGGGGCCAGACTTCAGACGCACCACCTGCTCTCAGACACGGACAAAAGATTCATCATGAGGAGACATTTTACATCTAACTCTTAAATAAACATCCATCATGGAGATAGGCGTGGGGACAGTTTGATTTGGAGGACCGTACTGGTGGGCTCACCTGTGTGGAGGTCGGGGCTTGGGGATGCCCGGAGGCGGAGAGTCGGGAGAACTGTGGTCCAGGTACACAGCGCACCACGGCGTGCATGCCCCCGTTACACGGCACCTCACTGCGGGGGATAGACAGCTGAGCCTGGCACTGTGCCAAGGAGTTCTCACTGCCCAAACACTGGACCTTCTCCACCCAGTAACCCTTCTTACTGACCAGAGAACTGCAGAGAGAGAGAAAGGGGATAAGAGACAGAGAGAGAAAGGGAAAGACAGTCAGAAAGATAGAGAGAGAGAGAGAGGGGGAGAGAGAGAGATGGAGTGACAAAGAGAGATAAATAGAGCGAGAGAAAAAGATAAAGAGAGAGAGAAGGAGACAGAAACAAAGAGATAAAGAAAAAAGAAATATAGAGGAGTGAAAGATAGATAGAAAAAATGAAAAAAAGAGAGAGAAAGAGCAAGAGAAAGGGGGAGACAGAGTCAGAAAGATAGTGAGAAAGAAAGAAAGAAAGAATGAAAGAAAGAAAGAAAGAAAGAAAGAAAGAAAGAAAGAAAGAAAGAAAGAAGAAAAAGAAAGAAAGAAAGAAATGCAAGGTTTGAGAGACAGAGAAAAAGAGAAAGATAGAAAGAGTGAAATAGAGAGAACGAGTGAAAGAGAGATTAAAAGAGTGATAGAGAAAAATAGACAGAGATAGAAAGAGAGGGAGAGAAAAAGTGAAAGACAGAAATAAAGAAAATAGAGGAAGACAGAGAGAGAGACAAAGAGAGAAGAGGGGAGTCAGATAGATAGAGAGAAAGACAAAAAGAGAAAGAAAGAAATAAACAAACAAACAAATGTGACAGACAGAGAAAAAGAGAAAAGACAAAGAAAGTGAGAGGAGAGAAAGAAAAGAAATAGAAAGGAGTGAAAGAGAAATAGAAAGAGTGAGAGAAAGAAAATAGAGATAGAAAGAGAAGGAGAGGCAGAATCAGAAGAAAGAAAGACAAAAAAGAAAGAGAAAGAAAGAAGGACAGAAAGATAAAGGAGTGAGAGATAGAGAAAAAAGAAGAGACAAAGAGGAATAAAGAAAAGAGATAGAGAGAAGGAGTGAAAGAGAGAAAGATAAAGAGACAGTGATAGAAAGAGATGGAGAGAAAGACAGAAATAAAGAAGAGAGAGAGAGAGAGAGAGAGAGAGAGAGAGAGAGAGAGAGAGAGAGAAAGAGAGAGAGAGAGAGAGAAAATGTGAAAAAAACGTGATTCTCAATGAAAGTCCTAAAATATTAGGGTCAGTTTTTAGGAATCATACTGTATATTGTATGTAACTCACCGCATGGCTGGATCTTCCAGTTTGGAATCCCACTGTTTCCTGAGAGAGAAGAGATTCCATAAACCATAAAATAAACAGAAAGAACCCACGCTGACTTTTCAGACCATATTTATCCTCAATAAATACGTTCTGACCGTGCGGACAGACGGGCAGGTATGTGTGTTTGTTTACAGTGCTCTAGCTTATTGGTGTGTTTGTGTTAGCTGAGCTTCACCCATAGCTTCCCTCAGCTCGCCTGGCAGGACGTCCAGCTGCACACAGACATGTATGTGGAGCTGCTTTACTCCATGGTGTCTGCTAAATGAATAGGAGCTGTATATATCACTCAGACAAAACAAGCCGAGGAGGTTCTGGTGGTTTTGTGGAGCACCAACGCACTCACAGAGACCCCAGTGTTCTCTGGGGCAGACAAAATACCCCCTTTCTGTCTGTCTGTCTCTGTGTCTCTTTTCTTTCTGGTCCTTAAAGGGCACAAAAAAACTGAATTTCTTCTTTTTTTTTAAATAAGAGAGTTTGATATAGAATGTGAACACTGAGTGCGTTTACATCCACTTAATAATCCGATAACTGCAGAAAATCTGATTTTGTCAGCGATCTGATCACACGTTTATATGCACTTGAGTAATCAGATATTAGGAAAACTCCTGGTCTACATGAGTCAGGCAGTAATCAGATTTCTGCTGTACAACCATTTGAATAATCAGATAACTGCGGAGTGCATTGAGTGCATGGAAACACACTCACTGTTAAAACTCATTCATTCACTTCATACAGTCCATTTTTGGTGACTAAGCTGTAAAAAACAGCCTGTTTTGAATTAACTGTTTTTGTGATGTCATTTACATATATTCACCTGTTCAGCCTACAGCATCTTAGCTCCACCCCCTTATGCTGACGTCATAACGAATGTTTCAGTCCAAACAGCTTTTTGAACAAGTCACAGTACAGGGCAGCCAATCAGAACAGAGGTAATTTACATACAACTGGATGCAAAAGTTTGGGCGGCCCTGGTCAAATTACATGTTTTGCGGGTTTTTGAAGTGAAAATAAGTGAATAGAAAGAACAACTTTACTAAGAACATACTTTACTTCTTTTCACACATTTTAATGCACATTTAAATGTTCGCTGAGTTTAACAAATTTGGAAAAAGTTAAACTGAAACAATAAAAATGTGGCTTGTGCAATAGTTTTTATATATTAAATGCCACATTTAAGTGAGTCTCTGTAGGAGATGTGTTCACTTATTTTCACTTAGAAAATCAAGAAAACATGTAATTTGAACAGTGGTGTTTAAACTGTTTCACATGACTGTATATCAGTCTTAAAGTTACAGTAACACAAACATCCTGTTTAATTCTAAGGGATAAAGAGAGTTTGGAAAAATAATTGACTGTTTTTGGTACATATAACTACACAAATGTCACAAATAAGTGGATTTAAGGATAAATAATAAAAGTCTCTACAATGAACCATTTCATATCAAACCACTCTAAATGGCTCTGTTTACATAAAAAAAAATAAAGGTATCAAAAAAGATTCTTTGCTAAAGAATCTTTCTATAGATGGCTCTTTAAAGAACCAGCATCATTTTATTAATGAGATGTGCGAACGTGAGGAAACTTTTTTTAAAGTTTAAAGATATTTTCACATAAAAAAAGGTTTCAACACCAGAAATCATGGAAAACGATATTTTCCTTCTGATTTTGAAATTTATGTTTGGTGAAGAATGTATTAATGTAAGTAATTGTTAAAATGTATCAAATGTATTTACTCTGCAATGCTTAAGTCCATATATACATGGAGCTGAAAAAAACAGCCCATTTTATATAATTTGTTTCGTGATACACATTGAAGCACATTTACATATCCCTGCCTATTCAGCCTACTGCATTTTAGCTCCACCCATTTGCGCTAAAGTTATAAGGAGTGTTTCAGCCTATTTTGTGAATGAGGCACAATAATACAAGGCAGCCAATCAGAATCAGAGCAGAGATCATTTACATAAATCGGTCTTAAAGGCACAGGAATAAAAACAGCCTGTTTACATCTAAGGGATAAAGAGAGGTTGGAAAATGGTCATATAAAAATGACCATTGGTTTTATGTACTTTTGGTACATAAAACCACACAAACATTATAAGCGGACCTCAGGGCAGAAAATATAATATAGGAAAATCATAGGATATAGTCCCATTAAAGGTTTTTCTTAGAACCGTATGTCCAAGCCACAATCATTTGGGAGCACTTATTTAGTGTATATAAGAGTGCAGTGCCATATAAGCAGAAGCAAGCAGAGGACATGAATGAGAAGCTGCAAATGGGTCACACTCCACACACCTAAACATAAAGGGGCGACAGTTTTGCCTTCCTTTTATTTCCTGATGATGTGGTGTTTATTTAACACACCCTATAATGATGCAGACTAATCTGTCCTTCCTAAATAAATGCAAAGTCTTAAGTTCCATCATGTGTCCTTGACTAAAGCAGCAGCCACACGAGTCATGCACCCAGTAACACCAAGTCGTGAAAGAAGGGAGGAAGCCGGGAAGCTAACAGGCATTTAAGCTAAATATAATCAATGGCAAGTGATGATTTAATGCTAGCAGGCTGGTGCCGATTGGCGCCGTGGGCCACATAAGGAATGGAAAGCATGGTGAAGTTACAGATTTAACACAGCAGAAACGAGTTACTCACAAACGAAAGTTTAACCCAAACTGGACAGGAATAAGTCATAAAGACAACAATTGACTTGCTAGAGCTGCTGTGCATAATGTGGTGATGCATTCTGTCATACACCAACAACATCAAGACATCTTTATAATCTAAAGTTTACAGGCCTGAGAATGTGACGGCTGTTGTTAACCTCTTACACTGCGGGCCTGTTATTCATTTATTAATCTGTAGATTTATTATTCAGTTCGTGTCAGAAAGGGAAAGGTGATAGTCCACTACACTGGTCTTATAAAAGAATGTCCAGTGCTACGTTTCACTCGGTTTATTGGCTATCATTAGCTTAACTTGAATGTTAGCTTGCATTAGTTAAATTAGCTAGCTAATAACGCCGATAGAATTTGTAAGATACATTGTTTGATTTTATACAATGCTGTTGTGTGGATATTCTAAAAAAGACAAGCACATACAGTAAAAGTACACTGTATCTATTTAGCCATGATAATAAGCTATAATTTGTTGTTTTCCACCTTTAATAACTTCTATTAATTATTCAGTAACTACTATAAAGGATCGACTAACTACTATGAAACATTCAGTATCTGCTATAAACTATTCAGTAACTCCTATGAATTATTCAGGATCTGCTATAAATGATTCAATCGGTACCATGAATTATTCATTACCTTCTATAAGTTATTCAGTATCTGCTATAAATTATTCAGTAACTACTACTAATTATTCAGTATCTGCTATAAATTATTCAGTAACTACTACTAATTATTCAGTATCTGCTATAAATTATTCAACAACTACTATGAAATATTCAGGAACTGCTATGGATTATTCAGTATCTGCTATGAATTATTCAATATCAAAAAATTATTCAGGAACTACTATGAAATATTTAGTAGCTGCTATAAATTATTCCATAATTACTATAAATTATTCTGTAACTACTATGAATTATTCAGAAACTAATATGAATGAGTGAGTAATTAGTATGAATTTATCAGTCTGTACTATGAAGCTAATGTATGAGTTGTAGTTATGAGAGTGAGGAACTGAAGTGTGGATCCACATACAGACTCTAACATTTTAAGGGGTTAACATTTAATAAAACGAGAAGCTGCAGAACTTCAGGACTTTCAAAAGCAACCAGATCCCATCACCGCACCATACACACCACCAGACCGCCAGCCTCACACACTGCTGCCTCCAGGACACTCACACACAGTGTGCATGTTGGTGGTCCAATCTGGTTTTGCAGAAGTGCTCATTAGCCACATGTACACCTACGAGTAGTTTCATTGGCTGGGAGAAGACTAGAGAGCTTGCCATGTTAAAGGTTTAGCCTAGACCCATACATCCCAGCCAAGAACCATTCAGGAACCTTTATTTTGAAGAGTGTCAGAATGACCATCTTGGTGATACAGTACTTTATTCCAGCTGTGATGACAGATCATTCCTCTGATCTGCCATGTGCTACTGTAGCACCACAAGACTTAAAAACAGAGAGAGGAGAAAATCAACCTGCTTCATATCAGAACACATCCACAGGTGTTTCTGTCCATCCTTCCACTGTGAGAAGACGACTCAGCGCTATGGGTCTGAAAGGATGTGTAGCTGTTCAAGAAGAACCTCACTGAGAAAAGGAGACGGACACATCAAACAAAGAAGCTGAACAATGGACTGACCACCCCAGAGTCCAGACCTCAACACCACTGAATGTGTTTGATTACTTCAGAAAATGATCAACCAGCTTCTAAGACTGAACTTTGGAGGTGTGGAAAAATATTCCTGCAGATTTCTATTTTATATTTTTTGTTCATCAATGTACAAACAGTGTAAATGTTCCCTCAAAGCTGCAACAGTGGTTTTAAGGCCCAACTGTGAACCTCAAATATGTTTTTCCAGATGAAAAGTTCATATTTGTACCTTTTCGTAATCTAATGTTTTAAAACAGAACAGTAAAATAAAAGTCTGGAGACGAGACGGGGTGTGTGGAGTCAGTACAGCTTAGAACATATCATTTCAGTGGATTATGGTTCAGTTATGTTCCCTGACTAAAGGTACTGAGATGTACCCTTGAGGGTCCCACCCCAGTGACAGGAGGGGTACTGCCCCACCACAAATCATTCATATTATACACTGACCAGCTTATTTATTCTCAAAGCCACTTTAAAACAACAGCTGGATTCCAAACTAGTGTGCCTCACTTCACGTCTCACGAAAACCACATAAATTCTCTTTTGACATTTGGAAGTCTGACAGCATGAAATACTATAAGCACAACCAGCGAGGCCCAGACCTTCATACTGTAGGAGTCGGAATCCCACTTCCGCTACCACTGCACTCCCAGCTGAGAG